GCTCAGTGCTGGGAGGAAGAGGGGCAGGGTAAGGCAAAGCCATGGTTCTCCCAGCATGCTGTGACTCCATCAAACCCTCTCCCCCAACCTGCCCCAGGGCTCAGTCCACGGTCACTGAAGAACCCATCCTCCTGTGTCCAGCACTGCATTTGCCCCCGCTGCCAACTACAACCATACACCTTCTGGGCCTGGCTGTTCCTCAGCCTTGACCATGGCTCCAGATATGACTGTAACACTCTGGTCCTCCCCACAGGGTGGCCACAGTACACAGGTACTGTGTTCTTCCTGTATATATCATATTTTCATCCCAAACACATACATAATCACCTTCAATTCCGATCTCAAATCTCCAGCAATTAAGCCACCAATCTGTCAAGAATTTACTAATACTTGCAGGCATGGCAGTGAGTGACCTCACAAAGACTGATATGACCTGTTTTTCAAGCACAGGGATTGATAATGTAGGTTTGGGGGCTAGAGGTCTGGATTTAAGCTCTAGCTTCAACATTCATAAACTGTTGACTTGAGGAAGTAGCAATGGCCTTGAATATATATTAAAAACTATGGCAAAATGTCAAAAATATTTTTAAAACCATATTACAGTAAAAGACATATTGCTATAATCGTCCTCCAAATCCTGTTTGAACACACTTCTGAAGCAGTTCTGGAAGTCCTCTTCTGTGGATATTTAGTGGTGCTGTCACAGCTGCCTTGATGTCCTGAATATATTCAAGCCACTTAAATGTTCATGGCCATTTTAACTTTGCAGAAGCGCCATAAGTCTCACCGGGCCACCGGGGTGAATCTGGTGGTTGAGGACACCATGATGTTGTGGCAGGCCTGCCTGGCTGCAGGACAGCACTCAGCAGCAGCGTTCACCACATCTATTAGAGCGCACGCTGAGCACAACTCGCCTCAGGCATGAACAGGAGCCAGCGGGTCCGGAGGCGCTAGGCTCATCAAATGAGGAAAGGCAGAGCGTGCTGGGGAGAGCCCTGTGCACACGTGGCACGGGCCTGCTGGGCCCCTGCTGCCTCTTCCATCCTCTGCCATTCTGGACTGGACAGCAAAGGAAGGACACAGGAAAAGGGGAGATGCTTTCTTTGCCATTTCCTGGAGAACAGAACTGGGTACTATCATACTTTCCTAAATTTCAACATCCTCAATCTTTAGAAACAGGTGCCCATCCACATTCAAACAGTATCCTTTGTGCTGACACGGGCCATTTCGGACTTTGGCTCACTTCTTTCATATAACTCTTCAGACTTTTTTTTCTTCTTTTGAAGTCTGAGGTTCTTTTCCAGACCCACAGTAAACATTACAAACGTGATCCTACACACACATGCTCCCAAACATTCTGTGTAAGACACTGTTCTCCTGTACTTATGAGGTCAGCAGGACTGCAGCCTCCCTAAATGGGGAGGCTGAAGAAACTGTTGGCCATGAAACATCCCTGGGGCTGCTTAACTCCTACGAAGAGGGGAAGCAGCCTCAGAAGCAGGTACAGAGTGTGCAAGAGAATATGCATACAACTGATGCAGGGTAGAGCTTAACGTCACTAGGCCACATGTTGCTCTACTAAGCATTAAGTTTTAAAGCATTGCTTAAAAACTGTCACTAACGAGTAACCTATCCCCTATGCATCATCATTTCAACTAGACCTTTAAAAAAAAAGTAAAGTTCTCCCGATGGCTCGCTCTGCCCACAGTGTGACTACGGCTTAGGTGAGACCCTACACTCTGTGTTCACTCAGTGCACGCTGTTGCAGGCTGCAAGCAGCGAGCTAGGTTCCAAGCCCCAAAGGTGATTCTGCCGTGAGGCCTAGCATTGTCAGGACTCAGTGCTGGTCCTGACATATGTGCTGCCTGGGGATGGGGAGGACAGGGTCTGCAAAATTCTCCCAGAACACCAGAACCAAGATCTGTATGCTTAATGAGGCCTTCAACACCCTTCCTTCTTGACCCTTTCACCCATGCTGGCCATGCCATCTGCTGCTCTCGATCCCTAGCATCAGGCAACCCGCCACTCTACCCTCATCTCCCCCAGTAGTTCCTTCATTTTTCTCTAATGCCCAGTCAGTGCATTCTATTTCTTTAAAATAATGTGGGGTGGCCGGTTCTGGAATGTCCAAGATGCCTGGAGTCACTAGGAAGTCTAATTTGCATGCATGAGGAGGGCAAGGAAGGAAGGAGGCCCAGAATTAAGACAAATACCGAGATATGGTGAACCCAGAAGGAATATAATCTGGAATTTGTCTGTCACCAGCTCACTATGAGAGTGGAGTAAGTCAGGTAAAGAGAGTTCAGACCCAAGGTCTAGGTCCAGGACAAGTTCACACTTGTTCTGTAATCTTGGGCAAGTCTCATAAAATGTATACATCTAAGAACCTCACCAAAAACTAATCCCCAGCACCACATGCAGCACCAGCCCCGCCCCCAGGGCAGGCTGAGCCAGCCAGAGTCTGGGCATAGTGGTGTACACCTGTAATCCCACTGCTGGGGAGGCTGAAAACAGGAGGATCTCTATGAGTGCGAGCTGCGTAGTGAGACCCTGTAACAACCAAGTACATTAATAATAATAATAATAATAATAAAATTAGATTCTACCAAATTCCCATGTATCTTACGCAGAGCCAAAAGATAAATAACTATGCTTAAGATCAGTGATACACCGCAGCCACATTATTATCATTTTGTTAGAATTAACAGGGAGAAAAGTAAACGCACGTAAGTGTTCAGAGAAGCCTATGTCCTTTGCACCCTGGCTCTTGTTTTAATTATTCTAATGAGATTTTCCTGTTACTGCTTCCTGTTCTGCCAGGCTCCCTTTCTCTTCTCAAGGCCACGGTCCATGCATGTCACGCGAAGTCATGCAGATGACCTAACTGGTATTCTTCTACATTTGGTCTACACCTCTGCTTCTTACACAGATGACTCACTGTGCTGGGGCTGCTCCTCCACCCAGACTCTAAGCTTCCGAGCACCTTCCTATGCCCTGGACTAATGCAAACGTCCCGGTTTCACTTGCTTCTGCCCGCTCGCCTCTTTCATCTTAATGCAGACATTTACACAATCTTCATCCACTTCGGTACGCTACACTCCATTGTCCATGTGTCTGTCTTGCCCTCCAACTTTTCTGTAATTGGCTTAAATGTAGATACCCTCAACTCATCTCTTCATTCAGTAAATATTTATCGAGAACCTAAAATAATGGGCTGGAGAGATAGCTCTGCAGTCTAAGCATCTGCCTGGCGAGTGCAAGTATCTGGGTTCAAGCCTGGTACCCCTTCCCATGCCAGCCCCATAACCCTGGGCATGCCGTGCTGGCCTTGAAACTGGGGGTGGTGGCTCAGGACTGTACTTCCAGCACTGGGGAGGCTGAGACAGGAGGATCACTATGAGTCTGAGCTGCATAGTGAGACCCTGTACCAAATAATTAATTTAAAAACATTAAAAGAAAAAAAACTTAAATAAATGAAAGTGTAAATTAGGCACCTCTGTATCCACAGTTGCAGTTTAGGGTCAGGACCTGATGGCAGACTTTACTGCCTACCTCCTGAACACAGGAACAAGTAATCCTCCATTAGGGACACTGCATCAAGCACTGAATTTGACCTTTCACTAAAATAAGCCTTTTCCAGAAGAAGGGGCAGGATGCAGAGGCCTTTCTGGCCCAGCTGGCAGCTGAGTCACAGAGTGTTTTTCTGCACAGTGGTCAGATCAAATAACGTTCTCTCTCTCTCTCTCTCTCTCTCTCTCTCTCTCTCTCTCTCTCTCTCTCTGTGTGTGTGTTCTATTGTGGTGCTAGCAATTCCCCAAGAAACTACTTCACAGCTTAATGAAGAGACACTTTTAGAAAATGGCCCCAAGAAGACAGTAAAGGACTCCAGAGCTCTGTCAGCAGAAGCAAGAAAGCTAATGGGTAGGATGGAACAGGGTGCATGAGCTAAAGTCCATAGCAGGGTCCAGGGCAGGAAGGTTTGCGATGTTTGGGGGCTCTGCAAGGAGAATGACATTTACAGAGTAAAAATGCTGCACCATAAGATCATTTTTCTCCTAAAGAGCCTTTCTTAAGAGTCAGATTTTCCTTACTTCTTTGTACAGATAAGGTTCAGGGACAGTGAGAAAGACAAACACATCTGCTTCAAGTCCTGTGCCTTGCAGGCTGCAGCGGGGATTCTAATCCAGGTCTATGAGAAGTCAAAACCTCGGCACTGCACCATGAGCAAACGCCACGCAAGAGCAGAGACATCTTCAAGAGTCCCCCTTTAAAAGCCCCTTCCCCGCTGTCCACTTCGCTGCTCAGGCATCCACTTCCCCTCTGGACCATGACCTCTGGGGCCCAGGAACACACCATGTGCATTACTGTCCTGTTGTCCCACTGCCCACCCAGAATCTAAGCTGAGCAAATTAGGTCAGTAGATATGCAATAGATTAAAGGATAAATGTGCTGGTCACCAATGCATAAATGAAGGGGTGATTCACTGTAGAGTTGACTCCAGGGCACTCCCTACCTGCTCAGGAAAATTTTGGCTAAGAACATCCTATCCTGGGAGAGTCATCTTCAGATTGTGGCTGCCCGTGAACTGGGGAAGAGGTTGGTACAATTCACCATCGCTCTTTTCCTTCCAAGTGTGTGAGCAGATGATAATTCCTAGTCTGTCGTGACTGTCGCTACGGCTGATGGATTACCAGCCTCTAGGCCTGGCTCATAAGTTCTTCCCACCAGATTCCCCACTCTCTCCCCTCTTCTTTACCCCTGCATCCCAAGCATTTGGATAAAGGTGATCAGATCGTTGAGGATGGAAGAGTTGCTGTATCAAATGTGATTCCCTGAACAGATGTGTGGATCAGAACTCTCCACACCAACACTCCCCTGAGACTTAATGTAAATAGCAAATAAAGTTTTATTATGTTAAGCCTCTGAGGTTTGGGAATCATATTACCAAAATTAAATTAATAATCTGAGCTTACTTAGATTGCTCAGCAAATGGAAAGTCAATATCCCTTGCAATTTCCTTCAATCATCAACTATTTATTAAGTACTATGTGGGCATTATTTCAAAGTAGAAGTTAAGAGTCACAGAATCTCTAGTCAAGAATATTGTTATGACTTGTATCTAGATGTTCTTCACAGAGCCACACGGGCTCATAGTTGGGGCTTTAAAGAGCTGCTGGTCCTGCGGTCTATAATACTGGGATTAAGAGTGTATGGGATTCATTAGTCCACTGATTTGAATTCTTGTAGTTCTGGGTGTGGAAAATGGAAACTCCACCCTCGAGGTGGGTGGTACCACTCATCAGGCTTACAGCTTGGAAGGAATAATTTATGGATGTGGGGCAGACAGGTTTGCTGCTGCTGCTGCTTCTCTGCTTTCTGCCTGCCACGTCGTTGTCGCTGTGCCGCCTCTGCCACGCTGCCCTGCCTTGGAGCCAGCTGATGATGAACACCTCTACAAACAGAGCTGAAATAAACCTTTCTTCCTTCACCTTGCAGGTGTTGGGTGTTTTGTCTCAGCAATGAGAAAAATAACTAAGATAAATAAGGTGAGTGGAAAATATGGAGGTGAACTGAGACCACCAGAGATGATTATTACAAACTTTCCATTATGGTTCCTTCCAGCCATCCATTCTAGCCAAGCCCTTACCTTGGTTCCTGGGGGTCCAGATGGTCCAGGTAATCCTCGCAGGCCCTGGTGCAAGGAAAGATTCGAGGAGAGTTATAGCCCCCTGAGAGAGCACTGCCTGTCCACCCTGCGCAGAGCTGGACACAGTCCCCAGGGGCAGGGGCAGACACGCAGGGGCGCTCACTGTGATGTAACTTGCACAAAGGAACCAGAAAGAGTTTTCAGCCAGGCGAGCGGGGTGCTGTGAGTTCTGGCCGCCACCTGCTGCTTACTTGTGACCACGAAGATATTCTCCGCCTCTCTTAGCTGGTTTTTCCCCCAAAGACTGCCATAGTGCAGCCTTTTGTAAGTGAGGGACAAGGCCAGGTTTCACAGCAGGGCTTACCTAATTCCAGTCCCTGCGCTCTGTTGTCTTTACTGTGCTATTAAGACTCAGGACTGGCCTGCGTGAGAGGATTTCAGGTTCCCACTGATGGGTTTCACCTAATGCAGGACTCATGGCCAGAATTCATCATGAGTCTCCTTCAGGAAACGCCAGCTAAAGTAACGAGGCGCTTAGCAGAGGCACGTAGTGGCCCTACTCTACTGTCCACCCAGGCTCATCGTGAGCCATTCCTTTGCGTGTTTGTCTCTCCCCAGATTGTAAGCATCTCCAGGGCTTGGGCTGTCTGGTCTGTCTGGGTCTCCAGCACCTGGCCTGGCTGGCATTCAGCAAGCCATCAACACTGTGCTGCACTAGGCAGAAAAAGTCTCCCCTGCTTATCTATGCTTTTGCTTCCCAGAAAAATATATATATATATATATTTAGTGTAGGGTCTACAAGGTCTTACTACACAGATCACACTTGTAGTGACCCTCCTGTTTTCAGCCTCCCAAGCACTGGGATTACAGATGCACACCACCATACCCAATCTCAATTTCCATCCCAGCGCACCCTGGGGTCAGAGTTGGCACGACACGCCAAGGATTGAATCCTGGCCCCTGAGTCTGCCTAGGCAGGTGCTTTAGTCCACTGAGCTACCTGGCTGACCCTACTTTCCAGGATTTTAGTTAGCTGAGGTCAACCATCATCTGAAAAAATTAAATGGAAAACTCCAGAAATGAACAATTTGCAAATTTTAAATAACTTTTGTTGCTTTAATTTTATTATTACTGTTGATCTTTTACTGTACTTAATTTGTAAGTTAAACTTGTTATAGGTATGCATGCACTAGAAAAACATAAGACTTAGTCTTATCCAAGGTATGGGGGTCCGCAGGTTATACTGGAACATGTTCTCTCCTGGATAAGGCTGGAAAACTACACACTGAAGAAGGCTGGTCCATACAGACCTCTCCCAGGCAGCTCAAGTCGCTGGCAAGGACTCAGTTTGTGCAGCTTGGTGCAGAAACTTATTCCTTTCTCTTCTCCATTTTAACTGGGTTTCCCATATACACAAACATGCGCTCCTACCTGCAACCTGCCACTTACCGGTTCACCATCGTTCCCTTTTCCAGGAGGCCCAGGGACCCCAGGAAGACCAGGATCACCCCTGAGGCCGGCTGGCCCTGGGCTCCCTTCATCACCTGCAGTTCCCTGGAGAGAAAAGTGGGTATTTTTCCAGATCAGTGATTCTTCACTGTTTGGCTATCCCATGGTTAATCAGCCTGAGTGGGTTGGTGTATTTTGTGGAGCTACCCGGTCCTGATAAGCTCAACCTCTAGGGGCATAGAAAAATGGACTGTGCAATGTGTTACAGTTTCAATTATATCCCTAAAGTTCAGATGTCCAAGTCCTAGTCCCCAATGTCTCACTGTGAAAATACAGTATTTGTGGGTGTCCTTACCTAAGATGGAATGAGGTTACGCTGGAATGTGACCTTCCTTGGGACTCATCCAACAAAACTGGTTCTAATGGTTGACATCTAAGATGTGCATAAGATGATTTGGCCATGGGGGTGTTAGGACTCGTCAGTGGGCACACTGATGAATTCAACAGCCAAATGCAATGCTAGGAAGTGGGAGGTCATTAAAAAGATGTTTCACTTTGGATGTGACCTGGCTCTTCCTCTCTTCTTCCTGGAAAGCATGGATTCCACCTTCCCTCCACCACACCAATTGGGCCTTGGACCCAGCCCACCATGAACTGAACCCTTGAAAACTGTAAGTCAAAATCAACCTCACTTCCTGTCATTATGAGAGCCAGATATTCTATCCTAGTGCTGACAAAGTGACTGATATACCAGTGTTCTTTTTAAGAAAGGTACACCTAGACACGGTCAGGCAGAGGGAAGATGATGAAATGATGCAGGGAGAAGACAGAGGTGGGTGAGCCAAGAAGAGTGCCTGGAACAGGCCTTTCCCTCAGTACAGGGAGGAAGCTGACCCTGTCAACACTTGAATTAGGAATTCTGGTCTCTAGAAATGTGAGACTGCAAGTCCCTGTTGTTTAGGTCACTGAGTCTAAAACTTTGTATCAGCAATGCTAATCAGTACATGTGATGTGGAATGTGGCCATGGAAGGCCATCACTACCTCATGCACCTTCCACCCTACTCTGGAGGACTGCCAATGAGTCTCTTGCAGCTGCTCTGCTCATATCCCTCGAGAAGCAAGAAGCTCATTCTGCTCCACACTGTGCACTCCTGGGGGAAGCAGCTCCATTATAAAGCACCTTCATAGCTCTCCCTGATATCTTCCCAATATTTGGCATTCAGCTTGTACCTTGTCACTCTGGAGAGAAAGCATAACCTCTTGTCACATGATGGGTCCTCACTAATAAGAGCAGAGCCTGATGCTCTAAAGGTGGAGGCAGATAGGCTAAGAAGCTAGGATTTGAGTTTGCACCAAGCCATACTCAAGTTTTCTGACCTCAAAGCTACGAGCAGCCCCCATGTGCGACACTGGACAGAACCCATAGCTGCGGAGCCACGCAGGTTTCCCTGCCAAGCTGCAGTCCTGAGGTCTCCAGCCTTGCAGTGTAGATGAGGTGAGATGAGCCAAGGATGGCGAAGCAAGTGATGGATAGAGACTCTCATCACACGTAGGGTAAAATCAGCTTCCTGAGCCCCAGGCCGGCCTCTAGATATGGTAAAATCAGAGGAGCCAGCTGCAGGGTCAGAGCATTTTGCCACCTGTCGGAGCACTGGAGCTCCATTCCAAACACAGCCCTGGGTTTTCTTCAGACCTCGGCCTGTGCTTCTGCTTAGCCAAGGAAAGGCATTTGGCTCCCCCTAGAGGTCAAACTGCTAACATCCCACTGGTTTTCTAGTGATTTTTTTTTAATTTTATTTTACTGAGAAACAAATATCAATGAGACAGTTTCAAAGCTGATTAATTGGACAGTTTCAATAATTAATACATTGTACATTGTTACCGTTTTAGTGGTTATCCATAGTACAAGAAGCAAACAGGATATCCTGTCCTAGCACTAATAGTACAAATCTTTTTTCTCATTGAATTAAGCAAAAGTAGCTGTATAGCTATCCTAACTATACAAATACAAAATGGTCCTTCCTTTGTATCCCCTGTTTTTGTTTAGTCCTGTCAAGAGATGAGTATTCCATTGGCATCTAAATACTATAGCTGTGTGAATTCAGCAAAACAATCCAACACAGTCCAGCGGTCCACAATAGTAGTGGTTTATCTGCAGAAGTTGTTGACTTGAGCCTTTCACAGCTCAGTATATCAATATGGCTTTACTTTATATACCTCGTTTTTATACTTTTCTGCTGGATGGTTAAGACTTAGATAAAGCAAGACCTATATAACGAGAAATGTATCTTTTGTATCTGATAAGGTCAGTCAAGTACCCTCAGGATTTATCCTGTAACCCTGTACTGCACTTTGTAGATCCTTTGTCAGTGAGAGCCATGTAGATAAGTCATGGCCATTGCTTGACCAATGTGCTCTCTGTGAAAGCCTGAGAGAATGTTTTTTCTCCCCATGTGACTCTCCCCAGGCACACTATACATCATCTATCACATTCCTCTGTGGCTCCATAATCTTCTTGATCAGAAAGTTTGGGGCACAACTGAGTTACATAGTGTTACAGTACAGGTTCTCCTAAGTCCTGAGTCTTCACTGACCTTGAAAGGCTAGGGCCAAAATATTGGCTGACCTTGCAGTCCTTCATTTTCTCCAATTTATATGCACAACATGGGTAAAGCGATGATCCTGAGAAACATCAGCAGGTTTTTGAAACTAGCAGTTAATTGATAGCATTCTCACCCTAACTATATATGCTGATACCTGTGAACCAAGCAACCACATTGAACACAGCAATGTGTAACAGGAGGGTCACGCTTGGAATGCCTGTCATTCTGGTCTTCTAAATACGTATTTCTTGTCATGACATTCCAATTATTACCATACTGTCTCTCAAGTAATTTTTTTTAATAAAGGGTAATAAATGAAAAAAAAAGACACAGAAAATGTCACAAGACTGTTCTGCTACAATGCTGTATATGGTTAAATTTCTAAATTTCTGTGTAAAAATATGTGTTTATTCCTATTTTTTAAATTTTTTTCTTCATATTCTATAGGGACTTCAAGTTTAACATATCAATACTTGATGGAAAATACCTGTTCCATGTTATGCCTAATATGTTTGATATTTAGACAGATAGTTAGGGTAAACCAAACTGCATATGTTGCAGGGTAATAATAAGCTCATCTTCTGGAGGGTTAACAACCTAAATTTGCAGATCAAAAATTGGAGAAAAGGTTTTCTAGTGATTGAAGGCTCCACTATCTCTCATAAAACCCTCCATATATGGATCACCCCGAGTTGTCAATGGCTCACTTATTGCATGAGGGGGCTCACACAGGGTATGCTCAAATGTTGGAGCTCTCTCCTTGTTTAATTTGGGCACTGTATTCCTACTCCTGAAGTCCAAGATGCTATGTTATCCTTTTCCAAGTAATCGTAGCTCCTGTATCACTAACGGCCTGTGATCACTCAGCGCTCCAAACTCTCCAGTCATTTTCCACAGCAGGCCTGGTCCCTTTTCTTGCAATCAAACATTTTTTTTTCTCTGAAGCACACATTTTAAAACCGAGTTTCTGCCAAAATGCAAAACCTACATCAAGTCTTGTTAAATTTTACAAAAATATAATAGACAAACAGTCCCTCCCCCAAACAGGTAGCAGGAAAAGTGGGCTTGAAGACATTTTCATGAAAAGTTTGGGCACTGCTGTACTGGGAGAGTTCTCTGAAGGTGAACCACAGGGGTACCAGGGACTCAGGGGCACCTGGGTAAAGCCGTGAGTGCACCCAGCTCGCAAAGGGAGGAAAGGATGGCGCTGCCACCAGTCCCTCCGCATCTGCCCCCTGCTGAGCACTCTGCACCTGATTCCCCAGTCCTCAAGCTAATCTTTGCAGGCTGGGCCCAACATATGCACTCATGTCACACTTTCACAGCTGTACAAATTTGGGGAGAAGATGGTGCTTTTTATTCAGCTCAGGTATTCCCAGTCTTGGCATTAATGACATTCAGACATCTTTTTTTTTTGGGGGGGGGATGGGAAGGGATCCTCACATCATTGGGCTGTGAGCAGAATTCCTGCTTTCTGTCTACTGGAGCTAGATGTAACAAACACACCGGTTGGGAGTTGAGAACAACTGCTGTCAGCCTAAGTTAGATCTGCACAGCTAGGTCATGGAGCAGGTACAAGGCTCAGTTCAGATGAGACTGTCCCAGTACCCAATGTCCAGAGTACACAGACCTAGACACTCGAGCTTGCACACTGGACACCTCTTTTAAGGACACTGTCTGCTGATGCATGAGCCATCCAGGGAACTCTGACCACTGACATTTACTAAGGTCGTCCCCACCCAATGTCTCTCGCCTTCTCCCAGCCCTATAAAAAAGGCCCGCTCCCCTCTGTTCCCTACTTGCAGCCCTATCACACCGCTGTCCATCTGCATCCAGGTATTACCCATGTCTCCTTGCTTTTGCACAAGTCTGTTGAGTGGTCACAGTCTCCATGTGGTCTTTACATCCTGTGCTGAAACCCGAGGCACAGAGAGGAAAAGTTCCCTCTCCATGGGGATCTCCAGCTCACCCCCTCGGCTGAGACCACCAGGTGACATCAGTCCCTCAGATCTCAGCTTCTACAGCCCCTGCTGCCTCTGCTGTACCTGCTCTTGCTGGCTATTTCAGTGATGCAAGCCACCTGTTCCTCACCCTCTTTTTTCCTACTTGCCCACCTTTTATTTTCCCCATAAAGTCTGAGAGAGGCTCACCCCTACTTTTCATGTATTAAAATTCCAGCACTGGTCTTGAAAAGCTCTCCAGAGAAGACTGCTTCCCTCCGGTGTCTGACACCAGCCGTGGCCATGGCTTTCAGCTCTGGGTGTAGGCCACAAACATCCCCCAAGAGACCCAGCTGCTCTCCCACACCTCTCTGTACTCCAATGAGGAAAAGCCCATCTCCCACCCCCTTCATCTCCTCCAGCCTGCCCTCTGGGGAATCTCAGACCTCTCTGCATCTCTCCTGATTGGAAGCCCAAGTGGCTACCCTTTTCAGGTAACGTGGCACAGCCACAGTCGGAGCAATGGAGCTCAGTGGCCTGACCATGGGACATCTGCTTGATCTGGGTCATTACTGCCATGGGCTAAGCAAGTGGTCTGAAGTGGCTGACCTCGGTCCCTCCTCACACACTCAAGCTTTCTAGCCTGTGTTCTTCACGCTGTTCATCTCAGATTCTCCTCCTTTCTCTTCTGTCCCCATCCTCTCCCATGCCAATGCCTCCCTCACCTAGGACCCTGCTGAACTCGCCTTCCCTTGGTGTCTTCAGCCTCCTCTGGTGGCCACAGCTGAGCAGCTTCCCCCAGAACAGCCTCCAGCTGGCTGGAAGCCTGCCCCACCTATCTACCCAGACCTTTCCTGCAAATCAAAGTCTCCTCCTCACACCCATTCTCATACACCCCATCTGGACTGCAGCTGCTGCCCCTTCCTCACCCCTGCTCCTCAGTTTCCACACCAGGAGGTGGTAGGTAGGGCCTGAGGGAATTGTTTGGGTCCTTGTTTCCTTTTCCATCTGATTTGTCTCTGATTATTCAGTGTCTGGGTTCCTTTCCTCCCTACCAACAAAATACAGCCAAGGACTTCAGTACCTTTTTTTCAGTCTTAAGCTCTCACCTGGGATGCCCTAATGTCCTTCTTTCTTCTACCCTCTCGCTGAGTTTCGGGAATGTGTTTGGACCTTACCCCACGATGCCTTGGATGACTGCAAGCACCCCGAACCTAACCTTCAGGAGGGAGCTGCAGCCAACCCCCAAGCAAGCCCTACCTAGAACTTTAGTTGGCTACATGAGTACGGGCAGTGCCCTGTCCCAAGTTAACTACAGGCCCGTTTGCTCGGGTGAAGGGCTCTGCGAGGAGTACCCAGGGCAGCCACTTCCGGCTGGCTTAAGGAAGCTGCAGACAAAAGATGAAACTCCAGCTGTTTATGTTCCACCAGTCACTGCCATCAGACATTATACTGAACGTGGAAGGCTGACCAACTAATTCTAAAGATGTGTTTTATCATACAGTCTACTCCAGATATCCCTAAAAAGTTACAGAAACTGGAGGCAGGCCCTCCAACCCCACAGCAGGAGTGAATAAATTAGGCACGTGAAGTTTTCAAGACACTAAGTTGCCCTCAAGCAGGGCCTAAGTTCCAGCCATTTGTCTCCACAGTAAGAAGCCCAGAGCTGCAGGCTGCACTGAAGTCCCAGCCAACAGTGCTGCCATGGTGCCACTATGGCTCCCCAGCTCAGGGGTGCGCCCCTGGGGCTATGCTTTAAATGCCATCAGCCTGGCCACTGGGCTAAGGAATGCCTGCAGCCCAGGATTCCTTCAAAGCCTTGCCCCACCTGCTAGGGGCCCCGCTGGAAGTGGGACCGTCCGTGTTGGCATCCCCGAGTCAGCTCTCAGGCCCCACAGCCTGCTCCCTCCCAGGTTTTCTGGGATTGGTGATGGATGACTGACGCTGTCCAGAAGCTCCAGAGGCCCCTTGGCCCATCCCAAATGCCAAGCTTTGGAAGTTCTGCAGGTGGAGGGTAAGTCCACATCTCTCATCACCAGGGGTGACTCCTTCCTTCCACCTTGGCTTTTTCCAAGGACCAGTCTCCTAGGCATCAACTGCTAATGTGGGTGTTGATAGCAAAGCCTCCAGGCCTTTGAAAACTTCAATTAGGTCAAGAATTTTTCTCCCAGTTTTCTGGTCATTCCCCTCCTTGGAGGGGATACCCTACCCCAACTGTCTGCTGCTCTCTCTGTTCCAAGAGTTCATTCTGCTTTTCTTGCCACTCTCTTTTCTGTGTCTCTGGCCTCACCCAAAGCTCCCACCACCACCCTGGATCTAAACCTTGCGGTCTGGGATACCTCCTCCCCTTCCTGGATTCTCAATCAGACACCATCCCAGATCACCCCTACCCCTCTCGGCACCAACGCCCCATCCCACTGAGACTCTGAGGGGACTAAAATCACTTATCTCTTACCTGCTCCAACATGGCCTTCTGGTCCCTATCAACACCCCAATTCTCCCTGCCCAAAAAGTAAATGGCACTTACAGATTAGTACAAGATCTCCATGCTGTCAACTAGATTGCCCTTCCTCCTCAACTTGTGATGCCCAACCCACAGGCCCTTTGGTCCACTCTCCCCATCTACTACCCATCACTCCTCCTAGACTTGAAAGTGCCTTCTGTCCCACTCTCCTACATTGCTCCACACAACCTCTCTTCACCTCTACTTCGGTCAGGCCCTTGCCCTTGATTTGCTCTCCTTCTGCCCCGCCGTCTCCCACCTTACACAATACACACATGACCTCCTTCTCTACAGCCCTCTTGCAAATCCTCCAGCTGGACCTCATGGCCACTTTCCTTGCCAGGACTGCTGGTCCGCATGTTCACCCCTCCCTTACTCATGGCCTGTCTTCTCAGACTCCTGCCACGGTCACAGTAACTGCACTCAATCACTAATTAGCAGCTATTGCTTTTCTCTTCTACTCAATATGGATCCGCCCCCTGGGCTTTCTCTCCTGCTAGGTTGCCCACTCAGCCCATGTGCCAAGCAGGAAGCAGTCACGAGAAATGGTGCCCATCTCACTTTTTGTCTTTTTCTTTTTTGCTTATAATAACAAAAAGATGGGAACAGAAGGCTCACTTCAGATATGGCTCTCCCAGTACCCAACTTGTCCTGCAGCAGAGACATCCTTCTTAGCTCAGCACTTGGGCCCTTGATAAGCACCAGAAGTCATAAAAGAGCTGAGGCAGAGCATGGACTCCTCCAGAACACGCAGACCCCTGGAGACACTGAAGCATTCACCCTGAGGGATTTACCCACCGAGGCACAAAACAGCTGAAGAACTTTGAGTGCTGATGTTTACTAAGACCTTCCCACCGAATGTTCCTTGCCTTCTTTCAAGTCCTATTTTTATTTTATTTATTTTTTTGAAATAACACAGTTTGATGAAAGGAACAGATGAAAGGGAAGTGACAGTGACAGGACACCAATGACCTAAATGAAGGATCATCCTACTGTTATGTGATAAAAGCTACTGCGTGACCAAGTCAAGAGAGTCAAGCCCTATTTTTTAAAAAAGAACCTGCTGCCCTTGTCTCCCTATAGACGGCCTTAATGCCCTCGGCCTGCCTGTATCCAGGCACAAGAAATTCCATGCCATGCTCCCTTTGCACAAGCCTGGCAGTCTCTGCGGCTCCCTGCCTCACATCGTGCCCTGCAGCTGGCATTTCACTTGGGTGTGAGGTCCCTGGATCTGTCCTGAGTCACTCGAATGGGTACTTTGGATTTCCAAGCTCTGGCACTGTGTCATCAATGAATATGAGAAACTTCCTAAAGTGCTCAGTAGGAGCCTGAGGAGTGTGGATTCTCCTCAGCTTTGGGGATATTTTAAATTAGTGGTTGACATTTCTCTCTTCTTCCTAAGGAACAGGACTTTGTCAGAGCTTGGTGAGGTTCACCTTCAATCACAGATGCACAGTGAATTAGCTGGGCACAGAATGGAGAGAAGGCCTGAGGTTAGCCACCTAGGAGATGCTGGGCTAATTAATTAACCTCTCAGAGCCTCCATGTCCACATCTGTGAAACAGGCACTCATCTGATTCAGAGGCCTGTCTGGAAGGGTAAAAGAGATGGTGAAAAGACCCAGTTTCCTCCCTCTTTCCTACTTGCAAATCTCTTCTGATTCCTGGGTTCTAAACCAGGCCTGAGTAATGTGAGGTCTTTCTTCACTGCTCTTAGGGGCTGAGAATAAACATCTGTATGCTGAGGGTTTGTGCTGGTCGTACCTTCTCGCCACGCTCTCCGTCTTTCCCAGGGGGTCCTCTCAGGCCAGGCGGACCCTGGAAAAGATCATTCACCAGGTGAGTTTCCTGATGGCTCCTAATCCCCACAGAAGAGTGATCAAGCCTCCTGTCCCCCTGCCCCCTTCCAGACTTGAATTCCCAAGGTCTTGCTCCTCCCTGAATCTGACTGCATGCTGCGCCTCAGAGCTCTTCGGAGCAGCGGTGCACTGCAGCCCGCCTACCCATGTTGTGAGCTCCTGGAGGGAAGGATCTCACAGCGAAGACACCAGGCAGGAGGCAGATGACCCGAAGGCCTGCTCCAGGAGCACTGGCAGAGCCCCCACAAGTTTACTTTGAGACCAATCTCCAGGGCAAGTTTCTCAGGATCCCCCAGTAGGAAGACGAGAAAGAGGAGGACACACAGTGAGAATCAGACAGCACACAGCTGGGGCTCAGTCCTGCTGCTCACCCTGGGAGCCCACGAGACACAGCGCACAGCAGCCCCACCTGAGGGCACAGGGGCCAGCTGGGTGTGCACACCATGGCCTCAGGGCTGCTTACAGTGGTGCTACTGGCCACCTGTCACATAGCTGCATGGCCGGGAAGCCCTTCAGACCTAGGAAGGCAGGGGTGGCAGCGCGTGCACCATGCACAGGTGTGAGGAGCCTCCAGTGCCACGCTCACTTGCCCATTCAGTCTCCTTGTGCTGCAAGCTTCATCTTTGTAAAACTGAGTCAATGCTAAGTTCACCTAATAGAAGCAATCAGTTCACAACAGACGAGTCAAAGCCTATAATGGAGCGAGAAGCATGCACAGCACAAGTAGCTGCCCAGTACAGTCCTCTAAGCCACTAGGATTATCACCTGCTAACGTTGACAAACGTACAAGCAGACCTAAATCTGTAGGAGAGGATAAATTCTCTGTAGCCACTGACTAGATGTGGGTGTGTGTTTTATTGAGTGACTTTTAAGTCTAAATCCATTTTTATGGTGAATCATAAAGCGATTCCATTAACAGACGTTCCCACACTAGAGAGATGTGACCTCAGGTCTCAGCACGACAAGTGAGGTGGATCTTGGTGGTGGGCAGCCCCACCTGCTGCGGAGTGCTCGGTGAGAACCTCGCCGAGGCTTTACACGAGCCAGTGAGTCAGCTGGCCTAGTCAGCTGTCCCCACAGCCAGCTAGGAAACGCTTGACTTCTTGAAGCGTTCTGTTTCTTTGAAGGCAAACTATGATGTTGATCCTAATGAGAATGGAAAGTGCAGCCTGTCTGCAGTGGCAATCCTACCCACTACCTGGACAGATGAAGTGTCACCTAGGGGCTTCTGTGTCCTAACTTTCTCTATAAACCTTATCAGGACACCAGTCTTCCCAATTACGGAATGGAGGGAATGAGGCTTGTGCCCCAGTCTCAAGGAACACAACTAAGTTAACTCACTTAGCTATGGGGTCATCAGGCAGGTCCACAGCCGGTTCCCAATTACTCACCACACTTCCAGGGAGGCCGCTGGGACCGGGGAGCCCCGCAGGTCCAGGAGCACCCTAGACATAGACAGAAGCAGTTTAGAACTCTAGGCCAAAGATATCAACTACAAATACCCGTCCTGGCCATTTGCTTTGTGGTTGGAACTGTACCAACCTGGCATCCCTCTAGGAGTCTTAGGAACCCTCACTCTTTAGGGCTGTGACATCCTGCCCAGGCGAGCCTCATGTGGGCAGGCTTCGGGCACAGGTGGGGAGATGGAAGGCAAGGCCCCCAGCAGTTTTTTAAGCCCAGTCACAGAGCTGGGAGGGCAGAGGGGATGTCCCCAACCATGCATGAGAACTTCAGTGGAGGTTCAGCCTTAGTGTTAAGTAAGCATGGAGGAGAGAAACACTGGAGAGAGAAGGGACCATTCAGAGTTGAGCTGCAGAGAACAGGTTTTGGTGCAAAGAGGAAGGCCAGCGAAGGAGCATGGACCAGCCCTGGGGGGGTGGCCACCCATGTGAGCCAGGAGAGGGGTTGGAGGGTGTACAGAGAGCACTGACCAGGGCTCCAGATCAACGATAGCTCCATGGTGATCATAGGCCTCAACAGACCACGGCACATCTGCTCTTAGCCAGCATCGTGCTGGAGATGCTGATGGACATTCACAGGGAAGGGCATGGGGGAGGGGCAGTGGGAGAGAGTGAGCACAAAGGAGAGCGAGAGAGTGGTCCCCACAAGGCAGGAAGCACAGGGGGCTTACAGGATTTCCTGCTGCTCCGGGAGCCCCATGTGCACCATCTTGTCCTTTGGTCCCCTGTAGAAGAAACAAAAGGGAAGATATAAGCAGTCAGAGGCCCAGGAAAGTCTCTGAAAACCTGGCTCATGGGAAACAGTGGATCCTTCCTAAAGGCCCTGGAGCAGGGCCTGGAAAGGGCAGAGAACTATGTCCAGGTCCACAGCTGGAAAGGAGCATCATGATTTGACTGCATCTGCAGGAAGCCAGAGGCCTCCAGGGTAGAGACACTCCAGATTGCACTGTACCTAAGGTGGTACTTGCTGAAACTTGGCCAGTCTTTAGTGGTGGGGCAGGGAGATCCAGGTTTCCAGAAGCAAGTCTGCCAGGGTAGACACACTAGACAAAGGGGCCCTAAGGCTCTGGGGTGCTCTGGGCCCTGAACACTGTCACAAAGCCCTCTGGCAAACAGTTTCAAAATCTAGGTATTTCAGCTTTAGGATTGGAATGGATGGGGATGAGCAGGTGGAGTCTCTGAAGGACAGGAAGAGAGAGCCATCTTACCGGAGGTCCAGTGGGTCCCCGAGGACCGAGTTCTCCAGGACGGCCCTGCAATGGAACAACCTGTCCATGAAGAGTTCAGCACCCTAATCCTTGAAAGAATGAATGCAATGGGTACAATCTGCGATCCCCTGATAAGAGGTCACCAGAGTTCTAAGGCGTTGCACTGAGTTTCCCATGATCAGTGGTTGGGCACTAGGACTCCAAAAGGCAGAATTGGAGGTAGCCAGCCCTGAAGGTCTGGTCTCCCCAGAGGCCTGGTGCACAGTGGGGCTGACGGAAGCAGCCCATGGTGGGCACTCACCGGCTCTCCAGGCACTCCTGGGTCACCCTTCTCTCCTTTGGGCCCTTGTTCGCCCTGTTGGTAGAAGCACAGGGTAGAGTTACATGGATGTGAGAGCAAACTTCCTCCCCCTACAGCACATGTGCCTGGCCCTCAAGGGCGGCACAGGAGCCACCTCCAGTCCTAGGGATACACTCGGGGTTCAACACCACTCCCCAAGGGCTTTCCCTGCTGACTGGGGGTGATCCTTCTCCCATCCCCCTGCAAGACAGACCTATTTGATTTATCTCTCAGATCTGAGGGCATAAATCTCTGCTTCACGGAAGTGAAAACTCAAGCCACCAGTTCCTTCTGTTAGGGACTCTTGGAGTCCAGAGTCTGTCCTCCAGGGCACCTGCTGAGGTTGCAGCTTTACATGTGCGTGTTTTGGCCTCTACCCCTCCAGGTTATCAGTGACTAAAGATGGAGCAAGTGCTGAGGGGAAGAGGCACCTCTTCTGCTCCTTTTCATGATGGAGACGTGGGGAAGAAACAAAAAAGCTTTGCTAAAAAAGCAAGATCTGTGGAATTCTGCAGACCAGCAGCTAACAAGAGCAGAGCTTCTAGAAAGGCCGGAGGGAGTAGCCTTCGTAGTAGTAGTAGTTTGTTCCCTCAAGGAGCAAACCTCACATTGTCCAAAACTGCCCCACTCAGGGACTTTGGGTGCTCTTTCTACAGAGAGGCCTACAGAAGAAACAAGATGGCATGTACCCTAATAGGCAACAGAACTCTGTACATGGAGAAATCAGTGAGTAATGGCTTTGGAGAACTTCAGGTCTGGGGAAGCCCCTAGATACACCTTTAAGCAGACTCTAATGTCTACCAGTCCTGGGGTGGGCTGACTGTAAGACTTGGTGAGAAACCAGAATTACAGTGATGATTGCCCACTGACTTTTCTTCCAGGTCTTACAGAAAGGCAAGCGAGGGACCTGGGGGAACTCTGAGGATTCCCAGAGAGGATGCTTAAGACAGTACTGCGCCAGCACCCAGGAGTCAGGAGGCAGTGCCTCACTGCTGAAGCCATGGGTGTTCCAGCAATCATTTTTGAATGTGCGAGCCCTGCTGGCTTCTCCCACATGTGCCCCAGGTGATGTTAGGCAGCTAACCCCCATTTCTGGGATTTGAAATCCCCCCAGCAGACACCAGGCACTGCCAGGGACATCATGGAAGACCTATGTAGGGTGAGAACTGACTGCCCTAGGCCCTTCTTGAAATATCACTTCTGAGACCCCTCCTGACTTACAGCTTAAAACCCTGCTTGCATTCCCCACTGTAATGTCCCCATGTCTGTCATGGCCACAGTTTGTCCCATTCCTCCAGCTAAGGCCTGGTTTCCCTCTCCAGTATAGCACTGCCAGACCCGAGGGGTCCCCACACCCTCTAACAGTCCTGTTCGTGGGTCACGGGCCTGCCCACAAGCCACCCCCATGGGCCTGCTGCACTGTGCACAAGTGTTCAAGGAAGCTGGGATATATCCCCTTCCCTTCCCTATTTGTACAGGAGTGTTGGAAGCTCTTGTTTGCTTCACTGCTGTCATCTACAGGCCATCTCTCTCCCTGTCAAGGTGTGTGTGTATGTGTGTGTGTGTGTGTGTGTGTGTGTGTTACTAAGGATGACACCCAGGGCCTCACACTGAGCTCTATCCCCAGTCTTAGTTTATTTGATTTTGAAACAGGAGCTCAGCAAGTTGCCCAAGCAAGGCTCAAATTTGCTGTCCTCCTGCCTCAGCGCCTGGACTGCCGGGATTCCAGGCATGCACCACCACGCCCAGCTCCTCTCACTCTTGCTCGCTGTGCTGTCACAGATCACTCAGTTCCTACACCCAGCAGCAGCTCTGCATGCTACAGGATGAAGTTTACCCAAAAGGACATGTGGGCTTTGCCTGTCACTACTGGAATGTCCCGCCTAGCAGAAAGTGGTCCGCACCTAGAAGCCCAGCTGCCTGGCAAGCCAGTAGGAAGGATTGAAAGTCAGAGTCACACCAGCCCATGTCTTCACCCACATGGACATCACCCCCAGGCTGAAGGTGCCAGCTATGCCAGGGCGCTACCACTACTTACAGGCATTCTTGGGTGTGGTGTGAACAGGGAAGTCTGAAATGGAAATCACAGAAATGAAAACCAGTAGTCGGATGCTTCATTTGCAAAACCTACTGCCTTTGAAAAAATTCACCAAGGGCTACAACACACCTCAAAAGTATTCATAAGTGATCAGTAGTTTCCTGTTCTTTTTAATGTATTTAGTACAGGGTGTTCGAGGTCTCACGACAGAGATCAGACTTGTAGTGATCCTCCTGTTTTCAGCCTCCCAAGCACTGGGATTACAGGCGTGTACCACCACACCCAGTGTCAATTGCCATCTCAGCTCACTCTGGAGGCGGAAGCGGCATGGCATGTGGTGCCGGGGATCCAACCCCAGTCCCTGCACTCTGCTTAGCAGGCCGTTTAGTCCACTGAGCTATCTGGCAAACCCTTCAGTAGTTTTAACAATTAGGATCAGAACTTTCTTTAAAGTCCCTAAGCAGTTTGGTTTTTTGTTGTTGTTTTTTTTTTTTTTTTTTTTTGCGGAACGGGGGATCAAACTCAGACCCTTGCGCTTGCCAGGGAAGCACTTATTCCACTGAGCCATCTCCCCGTGCCCCTAAGCATTTATTAAGGCAAGAACAATGCACAGTAGTTCCATCAGGGAGTCCAGCAGTCACCCGGGTGGAGCTCCCACCCCCATGTGACCTTGGACAGCTTGCTAAACGGCTTGCTCCCTCCAGCTTCAGCACTTGTGCAAATGCTGCTCCTCAGACCCAAAAGAGATTATGTTCCCTTTAGTTAACTACAGCCCACCCTTCAAGTCTCTTTTAATGTTATTCTCAAAGTTTGTCCTCCACCCCAATAAACTAGGTGGCCTGTCACTCTCTGTTCCTGTACCTTGCTCTGTTGCTGGATCCCATGTACTAGAATTCATATCATCTATTTGTCTCAGCCATTACACAATCAGAGCTCCTCTCCCATAGAAGGTTATCAACTACATCAGCCTGAGTCATGGCAATGCTTGGGACACAGGGACGCAAAGGATAAAAATGGCTGAATAAAGAGATATCATGAAGGTTGGTCTTAAAACACAGCGAATGCAGAGACAGGAAGGCTAGAGTGGCTGTCTAGACCTTCCCATCCACATCCCAAACCCTGGTCTCTTCTCAAAAAAAAAAAAACCAAAAAACACTGTTTTTCAAACTACAACATTTTTAGATCCTTTTTGATGTGTTTCTATCCAATTATGAATGTACAGCTATGCCTAATGTGTGCAGAAAGTATACAAATAGGGCCCTTGATTTATAGTGACTTACGATAACTCACACTCATTAATGCATGATTCCTCACAACAACTAGAGGTGTGATCTGCCTCTGCCCCACTGTATGGATAGGGCAGTGGCAGACAGAACAGTGAGCCCCTCCCAAGCCCAAGCAGCTGGGGATGCGGGCTCAGAAGCTAACGCTCACAGGGTAGGCTGCCTGGGTGCCTAATCCCTGAGTACACAAAGATTTACAAAGTGATTCTGTCAACCTAATCTTGTACCACTTAAGTTATGTATTCATATCTTTTCAAGAACATTTTTTTATAATGTAAGATACTGTGACACAGATATTCTATCACTTAGTTAATTCCATGCTTATAGTCATATGGATTTTTCCATAATTTTTCATCATTATAAGTGACACCACAATGGATCTACTTTTTTTTTGGGCCGGCTCAGCCCACCCTGAGGGCAGGGGTGGCCCAACATCTGGGGCTAGGAATCAAACCGCAGTCCCCTGAGCCTGCCTAAGCTTGCCTAAGCAGGAGCTTTAGACCACTGAGCTATCTCGCCGGCCCTGTATCTACTTCTGATTCTATTTTTTTCTGAAGCTAAGAGCCTTCCAGTATTCTTAGGGAAAGACTGAGTCTCCTTCTGATGTGGTAGGAGTGCAGCAATACAGATTAACACATTAAATTTGATAGAAGCAGCCGAGTAGACTATCTGCCACACTACAAACAGGCTTTCCTAGTGTCCCCACTGTCACCTATCCTGCTGTTATGGCTTCTGTCTACATGTCCCCCTAAAGCCTCATACAGGCACACATGGGGCTCTTTCAGATGTCGCTGGATCTATGATGTGTGATTCTGGGATTGATTCATGATGCAATGCAAGGATTGAGGGCACCAGGACTAAGGGTGTGAGACATAAGGGACAGAAAGAGCTCTGGTCATCCCTTGTTGCTTTCCTGCTTCTGTCTGCCAAGAACTGTCTGTCCTCTGTGATGTCACTATGTCTTGGAGCCTTCTGATTGTGGACTGAAACCTCTGAAGACTATGAACTACACTGACCTTTTCTCTTTGAATTTGGCGTGTGGAGTATTTTGTCTCAGCAATGAGAAATATTAACACAAAATTTGGTAACAGAAAAGTGGTGTCATTGTTGTGACTGTACATGACCATGTGGTTTAGGAAATTTGGGAGCTGGCTTATGGAAACAGGAAGAATTTGGAAAGGTTTAGAGATGCCAGCTGAAGAAGTGGAGCTGGAATGCCTTAGGCTGCACTTGACGGGAGATTCCGGTCAGTCAGATCTCAGAGGACCACAGTGCTGATAAATTCTGTTAGTAAAGACCAGGCTGGGGAGGTTTCTTCTGGGAAGAAGGACTATGTTAGCTGTTGGACTCCAGACCATGTGTGTGAGGCCTTGGCAGGGAGTCTGCCTGCATTTTGCTCCTGTACAGAGATTTTGCTTGAGGTTGAGATTAAGAGTGGCAGACTAATTAATCTGGCAGATGAAATTTCAAGGCAGTCAAATGTTGAGGCAGTGCCATGGCTACTGTTGGGGGCTTTTAGCCAGATTTCTGCTGTGAATCAAGTCCAGCAGAATGACTTGAAACATTCTGAGTTAGGCCAGAATGGAAGCTCCAGCATATTTTCAGGCTGTAAGGATAAAAGTCAGGAAAAACTGGTTGCTTAAACTAGCAAAAAATAAATAAATAAAAGCCAAGAATTTTGGAAGACAACAGCAGAAAAGATGGCCCAAGGATATCACTGACAGGACTCCAGGCTCTGCAGCCTCAGAGTCGCAAAGGTAAAAAATGTTTGCTTTGAGAAGACAGGCCCAGAGCACTGTGTTCCACAATGGTGCAGCACGGGGAGGCTGTTCCTAGGGATCTGCTTCACAGGCCACTGACCCCTACAGCCAAAGAGAAAGAAGTCTGCCTGCTGCTCCAGTGGGCAGCAGAACATGCCATCATCCACACGGTGCTGGGCTTAGGTGCATGCAGAATGCAAGACATATGGGTCAGACAGGCTTCAACCCGATTTCAGAAGGCCTGGAAGGCCAGGCGGTGTCCCCAAGAAGGCAGTGTGTAAAGCTGTGAGTATGGAGCCTAACTGCAGTGGAGACTCCAGAAGTATGGAGTGGCCAAGAATGGGGATCCTCTAAAGAAAACTGCAAGGAGGGAAGAGACAATAGAGAAGCCATGGGAGCCACGCCACCAGAAGTGCTACAGGGGCGGAGCCACCCCTTGATGCTCACAGCTTGCCACAGATTTGGGGGGAATGCTGGAAGTGGAACTTAACATTTTACCTTCAGGATTTTGCTTTGTTCCCATTCCTTGTTATCCCCTTTTGTAGCTTCTGGAATGGAAATGTTTACCTTGCGCCATTCATTTCATTTGTACAGGGGCTTACAGTCAAGAGCTGCCTTAAATCTCGGAGGAGACTGGACTTGGACTTTTCAGCAATGCTGAACCTCTTAGAACTTGTGCAGCTCATAGGGATAGACTAAATGCCTTCTGCATGAAGGGATGCACATGCAACTTTGGGGCTGGGGAAGACTATTATGGCTTGTGTCTAGAGGTGTCCCCAAGTCCCATGCAGTCACAGATGTGGCTTTCTCAGAGCTGGCTGGATCTAGTGTGATGCTGGGATTGATTCATGGCACAGTGCTAGGATCAAGGGCAATAGGATTAAGGGTGGGAGTGCTGCCCTAAGTAGCCTGGATAAGACATAAGAGATTGAAAAATCTGCGGCCCCTCCCATGTTGCTTTGCTACCTGCTGCCCACCATGAGCAGTTTCTCCTTTCTCATGCCATCCTGCCTTGGGGCCAGCTGATTGCAGACTGAAACCTGTACAAACTGTGAACCAAACAAACCTTTCCTCCTTTAACTTTAGGCATTCAGGTATTTTGTTTCAGCAATAAGAACAGTAACTAGCACACCTCCCTTTATTAGAGAGGCTATCCCCTGTTTCGGTCAGTAGCTAAGAAGTCCCGTATATACTCACCCACTCAGGAGCAGCACATAAAGCCCAGAAACTAATGCTCAAAACAGGGAATTTCAAGACGAGGCACAAACACTAAATTTCTAAAAATCTAAAGATATCTCCATTAAAGAATTTCTGGGAGTAAGATAAATAACATCAATAGTAGTTGTTTGATATTTCTTATGTGCCAGAAAATCTGTTAAATACTCTATATTCTGTCCGTCAATTTCACTAGGAATATGTAAGACGGTTGTATATTGTTCTGCCAAATGAGAAAACCTACTTTTGGATGGAGTAAATTACATATCTGAGACCATTATACTGGTGAATGGCAGAGCGAGAGCCCATTTCCTCCACCCCATTCCCTGCCCTCAGGCCTTTCTGTTGCTATTACTAAGCAGCAACTCACATTGCCAGCTTGAAGATGCCTCTGGTGGAAGATGGACCCTCATCTTGGGCCAGTATTATGGAATTGCAATGGACACGAGGCTTCTTATTTCTGGACATGATTCCCCAAAAGGGACAGGAGAATATGTAACCTCAGTATCTAACACATGCCCTGACAAAGAATAATTGTGCTTAGGCTGAATAAAATAAATGAGTATGCACAAGGTCATTCTGAGAGAAGCTTCTACATTTTTTGGATTTTTGTGACCTACTAGTGGATCTAGCTATTGGCAAACTCTACCAAGGAGAGTTTATAACTATGTGGTGTGTATAAGGGGGATCCTAATGCCTTAGGAATTGAGAAAAGGATAGAGGAGGAGAAGCAGAGCAACTTACAGTTCCAGGTAACCCAGGGGGGCCGGCTGGACCAGCTTCACCCTGGATGGAGGCACAAGAAATGAATAACTGTAAACATTCTGATAACTCCACTGATGCTAAGACAGGTCTGATAAGGCCACTCTTCCCCAGATGATAGAAACACTCACCACACATACCATAAAAGGCAGAAGAAAAACATTTCCGACATAAGCAATACCTTCGAGACTGACCTGTCTTGCTATCAATTATTTCAAGCACTATCTACTATCCCACTAAACAGTTATCTATTATGCGTCTCCCTTTTGATGACAGCAGCACAGCTTTCCTCAGGTCATGAGCATAGCCAGGGTCAGATATGCCCCAGAAACCATTCTCACATGTGCTCCTAAGCATGACGGCCACACTGAGCTCCAGCTTCTGTACAGAAGCCCAGCCCTGCCTGCCCCACACCCCAGGAGGAAGCAGACATTTCTCAAAATGAGAGGTGCTCTTCCTGTAAACAAAACAATGCTGGGAGCTGAGTCACCTGGGTTCAAAGCCCAACAAACTCTACTGGTTCACAAGTGAGTTCACCTCCTTTGGCTTGGTTTCTTCTTCGCAAACCATAATGATCATAACACCTAAAACTCTCAGCATCTGGTGGGGACAGAGATGATGAGGAGCATGGCACTGGGGAGACTGGGTCATGGAACTGTCTGGTGCAGGAGAAAGGGCAGCAACAGCACAGCGAGTAGACAGGGTCCCCAAAGTCTGCTGCATCACAAGTGCCATGGGGGGCCGAGGGACAGGGTATTCACTCCTGCAGCTCCTGGACCCAGTCCAGGGCTAGGCCTGCAGAACCTCTCTACATCTGGTTATTAGAGAGGCAAACTTAGCAAGGGACAAAGCCACCCTCAGTCAACAGCAATGATGCACCAATAAACATGGGTGTATCATTCCCTACTATTACTTCTATTGCTATATAGCATTTACTTCCATGTGCTTATTTATATATGAACTCATTTAATCTCTGCAGACATGCCTATAAGACATTTATGTATCCCCATTTCACAGCTGAAGAAACGAAGGCATAAAGGTCTCAGCCCCGCCCCCCCATAAGCACACTACTAGCCAATGGCTGAGCCTGGTTTCAAACTAAAACACCATGCTCTTAACCCAGAGTAAATCTCCAGAAGCTTCAGGAAGAAAGCACTTTCTTATATCACCACCACACTGCTAATTTTACCTGGTCCTCTTCCTGACGTGGCTGGACTTGCCCGCCAGAGCTGATGTCACCTATACCTATCTGTTCTCCAAGAACAAGCTCAAGGACCAAAGCTGAGTGCCTGCTAGCGGGGCACAAGAACAGAAGTGCGAGTGGGAGGAGGCCAGGAGGACAGGTGTGTCCAGCCAGAGGCCAGGAGGCTGCCTGTGGAAGTAGCATTTTCATGCATCCTCCGAGATGCAGGGAGTGAGGTCATGGTGGGCAACATGGGCTGGGCCAACAGAGCTCTGGTACTGAGCAAGATGCTAGGACGAAGGACCTGTACATTTGGGGGTAAATTTGACAGGCTTGGTTCCAACCCTGTTTCTGTGTTTAGCTCTTGGTTGCCCCACTGAGAAACAGCAGTGCCATCCCCACCTTCCAGCCCAGTGTGTGGGGTGAAAACCTTTGTCTCCAGGGGCAGGATACAGCCAATGGAGAGGAAGGCAGAGGTGGGATGTGCCACACACAGTCAGGAGAGGGAAGCGTAGTCTTTTGTCTTATTTTGAATTTTTGTCAAAAGTTGCTCTTGTCACCAATCTCTGAAGGAACACAGAGGCAGTCCACACCCTTGGGAAGCCTGAGTGTGGTTCTGCTGAACTGAGCAGAGGAGTTTACTGGTCTCTTCCATCTCTGCACTCTGGAAGTGAGGCTTTTACATGGAAATCACATTTCTGAGAAGTCCACCGAAGTAGCAGGTCAGATGCTGTTCAGGCACGTCAGCATCCGTGGGGCCAAGGCAGGGAGCAGGAGGAAGGAACGCTGGAGACTGGAGCCGAAGAAGTACAAACCCAGAAGAACAAGCGCCAGGCAGGAGGAGGCTGAGTGCAGTCTCCATGATGCGAGTATCAGTCCCCTCACCACCTACATCACTGAAATGGGGACACTGTTGACAACAGTGGCCTATCCTAGAATCAGCCTGTGGATTAGCTGGGTCCCTATATGGACAGTGCTTCAGTCTATCTGGCACAGAACCCATGAAGACCACAGAGGGAAGTGTCTGTGGAACCATACCCATGCCCAAGTTGGGATGCTGAGCTGTCTGAACAGCATCTGACCTGCTACTTCGGTGGACTTCTCAGAAATGTGATTTCCACGTAAAAGCCTCACTTCCAGAGTGCAGAGATGGGAGAGACCAGTAAACTCCTCTGCTCAGTTCAGCAGAACCACACTCAGGCTTCCCAAGGGTGTGGACTGCCTCTGTGTTCCTTCAGAGATTGGTGACAAGAGCAACTTTCGACAAAAATTCAAAATAAGACAAAAGACAACACTTCCCTCTCCTGACTGTGCGTGCACATCCCACCTCTGCCTTCCTCTCCATTGGCTGTATCCTGCCCCTGGAGACAAAGGTTTTCACCCCACACACTGGGCTGGAAGGTGGGGATGGCACTGCTGTTTCTCAGTGGGGCAACCAAGAGCTAAACACAGCATAGAGAGACTTCAATGGTTAAGCTTCATTGTCAGCTTGACTGCTTAGTTGGCAGTGACGGCAAACCTTCTAGAGCTTTCCATGGTACAAGCAGCCGGCTGTGGCACGCACGGCATAGGTTCACCACCACTGGCCAGGGACTGATAAAGCAGACCTGTAGCTGTGTGTGGATGAGTCATGGGGCACGGCCGTGGCGTACATATCCAGCCCCTGGCCCCTTCCCTCAGGCAGGCACCCCTCTGCCGTGCGGCTGGCCACCGTGAGCTTAGAAGCTCACCTCTGTGATACCTCTCTGCCGGGCTACTTCTGCCTTGGAGCCAGGCTACAGAAGACAGGATTCTCCACACCATGAGCCCAGTGAAACTCTCCTTATTTAAGCTGCAGGTATCTGGTGTTCTGTTCCAGCAATGAGAAAAAGGCTGAGTGATACTAGGCCTGTATGTACCATGTAGAGCAGACAGAACCAGGACGGGGGTCTGGGACACCACAGTGCTCTTGCTGCTGCACTGCAGGCAAACACACACAATCACATAGGCAGGTCGTGTGCGTGTGCGTGTGCGTGTGTGTGTGTGTGTGTGAACAATGTTGCTAAGGGGCTAAGGGCATACAGTATCTGATCAGAAGCCAAGCGTGAGGCAACAAAAACCAAAGCAGCTTGCAGAGCATTGCTCGTGGCAGGGATTTCCAATTCTTTCCATCTCTGCCCCTGTGAAGTCTAGCATTTGGGGGACTGGGAACACGTCGTGTTCACTGTCACCGTATTGGTGACAGCCGTGCAGAGCGAATGATATGCAGTTTGCAAGAGTGAGTGTCAGGGAAATCTCGGCGGCTGTCCTGGGCTGGCAGGCTTACAGATGCATCCTCCAACGTGGGTTTTTAGCTGGAAGAACGAGGAACACTGTGGCTGAAACCTCCTGCCGCACACCCTGGTGGCCTGGCCTCATATTCGGCCTTTTAGTCCTGTAAGTCAGGGTGAGTCAGTGCAGCTCTCCGTACTTTACTTCTTTCACCCAAACTGTTATGGCCCTATCTTAGTCACTTCTCTCACTGCTGTGACAAAACATCACACCCCTAAAGTTAGGGAGGAAAGGGTTTGTTTAGCTCACAGTGTGCAGAGGTTGCAGCCCACAGGTGGCTGGCACCAGGGTGGGGTGGCTTCGCAGAGAACAGTTCATGGCAGGCAGGAAACAGCAAAATCAACAACCAACTCCCCCCCAGCAACTTTCTGCCCTTTTATAGCCTGTCCAGGCTGCCGGGATCAGGGCAGTGCCAACCTAATCATTGCACTGGTCACACACACTCTACACTCAGCCACCTCTTAAAAAGCCCTGGGACTGCATGAGGATTTACAGAGACATCTAGACAATCCACAACATACCTAGATGCCTCAGGCAGTCCTAGGTGCAGAGTTCTGATGGTGGCTGAGTTTGTGGTGTGTGAGTGTGGATGAAGGGTGTGATACTGGCATTATGTGGATGGATAAGCCCAGCCTGAAGTGGATGGTATCAATCAACAGGCTTGATTGGTATTCCAGGCCACATGGAATATGGAGACAGAGAGAGGAGGCTGCTGCTGCTGCTGCTGCCACTGCGGCCTCTTGCCCTATCCCACGATATCTCTCTGCCTTGCCTGCCTGCCTTGGAGTCAGCTGATTGTGCAGGAAACCTCTACAAACCATGAACTGAAATAAAGCTTTCTTCATTTCACGTAGGGCATCAGGCCTTTTGTCTCAGCAATGAGAAAATCAACCAAGACACACAGAAAGGGCATTACACGGGCAGGACCTTACAGCTCACGGATGCCCTGTAGCTCTGCCCACTGCACCTGCCACGCTCGCGCCGTCTCAGCAAAGGCTCGCTTGGACGCGCGCAATTCCAGCAGATGAGATCAGACACAGACAGTCCGTGCATACCTGCCTTCAGCAGCAGCTCCATTTCCAATCAACCAACTAGTGGCTTCCCTTTCAGCAAAAGCCAACAGATCCTGGCAGTGGTCTGCATACTGAATACAGTTTAAAGGTTCCCATGACAAAATTTATACACCACAAGCCACTGACATCAGGGATTTAGGTTATTATAGCCATTCAGTCTAAATCCCTTATCAAGTGAGTCTCTGAGTCATGCCCCAGTTTCCTGTGGGTCATGGGCACAAGACAAATAGATGAAGTGCCCACCAAACAGACCTGCTCTTCTGAGAAGACACTGGGATCATGGGCTCAAGTCCAGAGAGGTGACTCTAGCTCTGGGCATTCATCCAAACCTCCGTAAGCTTGAGCTCTCTCTAACCACAGAATGCTCCCACTTTCTGATTGTCACATCACAGCTACTCCTGAACTTTTCTCTTCTAGCCTGCTATCGCAGAAGATGATGTCAATGACTTCACTGACCTTGCCTTCATGCATGCAGGGGTTTTCCAGCAAATTGGGAACAAGGGGAAGGAGAGGGTGAGAAACTGAAACCACCAGGACACTCGCCAGCATGTCTGCTTCCCTTCCCAGAGCCAGGATGACTGTCAGACTCCTTCATGGCCACAGCCTCTCTGGTCTCCTGCTACCCTTTCCCTGGGGCGTGTCACCCCATGTGACTGCTTTCCCTTAGCATTAGCCAGACATGCTTTCCCTAAATTCTCTCTGACCATCCATCCTGAGGCCGTTGCACTGACAGATGCAGCAATGCCACAAACACCTGCTGTGCACTGCGGAGCACACGGCAGCCTCAGCACACGCCATGATGTCCCTTGACCAAAACAGACCCCGCTTGGACTCTGAGCCTAGCCCTAGGGCCAAGGCCACAGCACAGGCAGGCGCAGTCACACGGGATGTGCAAGAAGGAGGCAAGAAAGGCTTTGCTTCGTGGCGAAGTCTTCACCCTCTTGGAGCCTCCTCTGCCCTGCACACAATTATCACACCCACTTTCACTAAAATTCTACTGGACTAAGAGCAAAAGACTAAAACTGACTGGGCCGAACACAGCGCCTCACTGTCAGCATTGCTTGAGCAATTAACCCCCAAGCCCTGCAGGCACAAAGCGGGGATGGAGAGGTGCTTGAATGGATACAGCATCCTGATTCTACCGGCTTTAGTTTCCTGCGAATTCCAAGTAGAGCTTATGTCTAACTTACCCACTCCTCAAAAATATACTTTTGAGTCATGAAAATACATTTCACACACACACAAAAATACCTCATTAGGAAACAGCAGTCACATCTTGTACTATGAATAACTACTACAAAGACAATAATATGCAATGTATTAATTATTGTAATTGTCCTACTGTTTTGAAACTGTCTCATTGCTACTTCTTTCTCGATAAAATTATTAAAAAAAGAAAATAATAATAAATAGAGCGATTTGTTCTAATGGTGTTTGTAAATAGGATATCATGTCCACATCTTGTACAGCAATTAACCACTAGGAAGAATGTATGCAATGTGTTAATTATTGAAACTGTCCTACCAATTTGGTTTGAAACTGTTTCATTGCTATTTGTTTCTCAATAAAATTATGGAAAAAAAAAAAAAGAAAAGAAAAAGAAACAGCAGCCAGTGAGAATGAATGACCAGAATGAGTTAAGGGCCTCCTACCTTTTCACCTCGGTCACCTTTCAGTCCTGGAAGTCCCAGTTCACCTTTTACTCCCTATAAGGAGAGATATGATTGGAAAGAGATTAGAACCTAACTGAATGTAATTCTTCCCTCTTCTATATAATAGCAGTATGGCCGTGGGATCTGTCTATCTGTCTGCCTGTCTCTGTCTCACCTGCCCTTGCTTTATCAGTAGAAAGGCCAGCAGGAAAAACTCTGACTCAGGGGAGGCTCTGTCTGGTATGCATGAAGCACTGGACTCTGGGGAGATGTCTCCTACCCTCATTTTATCAATTCAATCCGAAGATGCTCTACCCTCCCCACAGCTATCACAGCCTTTTGGTACATGTAGCTCAAGAACTCTGGTACCGTGTCTTCTCCCCCATCATTCCTCTTGCGCCAACATGAGAACTACTCTATTCATCCCCCCTCAAGAGAGTAAGACTTCAGAGGGGTAGCTTCCCATGGGGATCAGCTGAGTGGCAAGAGGCCACCACACTTACCTGGCTTCCCTTCTCTCCTCTTACACCTGGGAACCCTGGAGCACCTGGGAGGCCAGTTTCTCCCTGTGGGAACAAAATGGCAGTGCTGTCCATTAGGCACCTGTGGGAGGACTCTCTCACGAGACGGGGTGGACAGTGTGCACTTTAGTTCCCCCCAAATCCCTCGAAATCTTTGGGCTTAGTGGAGATCACAGAAAACAGAGCACCAGAGAAAGGGGAAATCTAGACAGTGTGTCCACTGAGGACCCTCCAGCTCCTTCCCACTTGGGCTATTTCTTCTTCTGGGAACCCTGTTCCAAGTCTCTGAGGATCTAACTCCTCTTGTCCTTTAAGACTCAACCAAAATGTCTCCTTCAGGCTTACATCTGGATGTCCCTGCCAACCTATACACACTCAAAGATGGGGCCCATGAGAGGTGACTGAGTCTTGGCTCCACTACAGCTAAGTGTGATGCCAGGAGGTGGGGCCGGGCTGGAAAGGTGGGCCACTGGAGATGACCCGGTAGGATGTGTCCCCTGCCCCACTGGCCTTCTCTCTGCTTTCTGGCTGCCAGGAGGTGAGCAGCTTTTCCTCTACAGGACCCCTCCTCCATGCTGTTAGAGCAGGCCAAGTATGGCTGAAACATAAGCCAAAATAGATCGCACCTCCTTCAAGCTTTGTCAGGTATTTTACCCCAAGAGCAAAAGAATGACTAAGATACAAGTCTTTTTTTTTAACTGTATTTGGTTGTTGCAGGGTCTCACTACGCCACTCGGACTCACGGTGATCCTCCTCCTTTCAGCCTCCCAGGCATGTGCTAATAAGCCCAGACTCTTGCTGGCACAGCCTGCCCTTGGGGCGGGGTTGGCGAAGGCTGCGGTGCTGGGGATCAAACCTCAGTCCCTGCGCTTGCCTAAGCAGGTGCTTAGTCCACTGAGCTATGTCTCCAGCCCAAGATACAACTCTTAACTATCTTTTCTGACATTCCCCAAACCCCAAAAGCCTTGTCCCATGCCCCTCACTGACATGGCATGTCACCACATCTTACACTTGTGCATTCTACTTGCTCCCCAGAGTCCAGTTCATCTTGTCCTATAGCTGTGACACCAGTAACCACCATAGCCCTGAGTACACTGGACAGGGTTGGAATTACTGAGTAAATAAATGAATGCATGAAACAAGTAGTGAGCACCAAAGATATGCTTCAATCCCTTTGCCATTTGAAGAATTTATATGACCCAAGATGCAACAATGAATGAGTCAATTCCATTTTGTATCTGTGTATTCAAAGTGGTTAGGATAGATATATAGTTACACTCTCTTAATGAATAGAATGATTTGTTCTAATGGTGTTTGTAAATAGGATATCAAGTCCACATCTTGTACAGCAATTAACCACTAAGAAGAATGTATGCAGTGTGTTAATTATTGAAACTGTCCTACCGATTTGATTTGAAAATGTCTCATTGCTATTTATTTGTCAATAAAATTATGGCCAAAAAAAAGAAATGCAGTAAAGAACTATAAACAGAGTTGCACTCTATTCTTCCCACATATATTTAGGCATTCACACATGACCATTTCATGCAGAAAAGAAAGACGGAATGGTGTTGAGTTGATAGTATTCTTCCTTTGATGAGAAGACTCACTGATGTTCTAATAATGAATGATTTTCATAATCCTTAAATGTTTCATAGGCATCTGGTTATTATAGTTTTGTAGCCATCTCTAATCATTCCTCTAGGTGTGCTGGATTCTATTATTTGAATATTAGTAAAAGAAAAAATGTTTTCAATAAAGTTTAATTAATAAAAAAATGAAGAATGAGAGGTATGAATGAAAGCATGAACAATCAGACCTTGTCTCCATGCTGGCCTGCCAGGCCCCGCTCCCCAGCTTCACCCTAGAGAGAGAACATCAGACACTCCATTATCTCGCATGCACATTTCAGAAGTGGGTTTAGGCCCCAGTTGGGCTCGGACGTCCACAGCACCTGGAAGCCACAACTCTAATTCTCAAATGCGGAGCACAGTTAAGGTCCCAAGGGCCAGGATCTGTGCAAGCCCAAGCGTTGAGCACTTCCAGAGAGAGGGCTTCCACACTCCCTCACACTGGCTCTTGCTTTAACTCAAAGAAACAGCTCCTGAAATTTCCCTACCAGAATTTAATCAAGGTGCATCCGTACATCTGGAGCCTAAACTCTTATAATGCAAATAATACTGAGCCAAAGTCTCCAAGTACTAGATCCACCCCAGTTCTGAGTTTTGAGTCATATTAGAATAACATAGACCCCATGCTGGTTCCGATGATGAAGGGGAACTTGCTGAAGAACTTGCCTATGTGACTGGTGTCCCTTGATTGCTATTCAGTCTCTTTTCATAAACACAGGCTGCCCCAAGGCAGGCATTTAATGTCTCGTTTCCCATGGTGTAGAACAGTAAGTAACAGAGCTTACATTAGCAAGCCTGCCTCCCAGTGGTGCACACTGGCTCTTGTTCCTTGGAAATTTGGTGCTCTTCCATTAGGTCTCTACTATGGTCAGAATGTTCATCCAAATTTTTTTTTCTTATTTTAATACATGTTTGCAGAGCATAACGTTGCATGCATCATGGAGCTTTTGTACCTGTACATAACACAACTTAATTCTTCTTACATTCCCTTCCTTCCCCTTCTCCTACCTCCATCTCTTTTTCTCTCTCAAGAGCTCTCAGATTAAAACATAATCTTCAGAGTGGTTGTCTTGGTTTCTTTTCTCTCCCTGCTGATACAAAATACCTGACACCCAAAATTAAGGAAGGAAGGGCTTATTTAGCTCACGGTTTGTGGAGGTTTCAGTCCATAAATAGCTGGATCCAAAGCAAGGTGGCATGGCAGAGGGGCAACAGCTCGGGGGAGGGGCAGCAAAAACAGAAAGAGGAAGAAAGGAGAAGCAAGCCTCTTCTCCTCCCCTACATCGTATGCAGGCTGCCCACCCCAGGGCAGGTGCAGCAGCCAGCCCAATCCCACACTAGCCAATGAACCAACCACAAAGTCTAAGTACCATTACCTCGAAGCCTCCTCACCGCCACCCCACGAGGTTTGGGGGAGACATCCAGGCACAGACCCCAACAATGGGATGTCAAAGGCAGGGCCTCTGGGAGGTGATCAGACAGAGTCTGCATGAATGGGGTTGATTCCCTTATTAAACAGGACGGGGGGAGCCTTCCGGCCTTCTATCATGAGGACACAGTGAGGTTGTCACTAAAGGCACCATCTGTAGAGCGGGGCCCCACCCGAAGCTGAGTCTACCGGCACCTTGATCTTGCACTTCCCAAACTCCAGGCTGGGAGCAACGTAGTCTGTTGTTTATAAAGTATGTTATAGCAACCCAGAGAGAGCTCCTACTTGCACTTTGTGGCCAAACTGATGTGGAAGACACAGGAGCAGAGGGCTCAATCCCCAAGCCAAAGCAGCAGGGTGCTGCACTCACTGGGCCCGTGGGAATCACTGACAAAAGCGATGTAGGGAATGGAGTAACCAGCCATGTGTGCTGAGAATCATTTTGCTTCTGAGTAACTAGTTCTCTCTAACATCCAGTATGTTAGGTTGTCAGTTGAAATCTGCCATGATGGGCAGGGGAGAGAGCTCAGAGGTCTAAGTGCCTGCCTGGCAAGCGCAAAGACCAGGGTTTGATCCCAAGTACTGCATTTCATGCCAGCCCTATGCCAAACCAGCCACTGAAATCGGGCATGGTGGTGCACACCTGTAATCCCAGCACTGGGGAGGCTGAGACAGGAGGATCACTATGAGTCTGAGCTATATAGTGAGACCTTGTATTAAATAAATAAATAAATACATACATACATACATACATACATACATACATGATTAAAAATATGAAATCTGCCAGGATGGTAGCACATTTGCTATAGGAATTGCCTCTGACATGCTGAGAAAGAAAAGAGGCTGGGTGTGCTTAGCAAGAAGCTCTAAGGGACATCTGAAGCGCACCCCGAATTTGGGCTGTCAATCTCAATCCAAAGGTACCACATGGAAGGAACTGAATGTCCTCATGACTCCTTAAAGTGAGCCTCAAAACACAGAGTGAGCTTGCAGTGTGAGCTTGCAAAGCCACTTCACGCCACTAGGGGGCTCTGAGCTCCGGCCAGCTAAGAGCTTCCCACCAGCATCTTGGACCTTTGTGGGTGTTGTTGTTGTTGTTGCTGGACCTTCATGAGTGTTGTTGTTGTTGTTTTGGTACCAGGAATCAAACTCACAGCTTCATGCTTGCCAGGCAGGCCCTGCCCTATGCTGCTGAGCTATATCCACAGCCCTCATTAGCTTCTTAGAAAAGGATCTTTTCATCCTCAGCTGGTACTTTGACAAAATAAAGTCAGAAGACCTATGTCAGGTCTGTACCGGGAGGAAAAGTAGGCTGAACAGCCCAGAGGCACTTCAGTTCAGCTTCAAACTTCTCAGATAAACATTGCAAACATACAGCTTTGAAATCATACAAAAAAAAAAAAAAAACGGCACAGCGGAGGCACAGCAGGCAGACTTCTGTGTTTGAAGATCTCAATACAATACAAATAGAAGCAAAACTTAAAGAAATTCCCTCGTGGACCTGTGCACCCCAATACTTCTAGACAATCCCTTTATCCATGCAAACATGCACAGGAAACGTGAATGAAGAGGCTCAAGTCCGGAGCAGGGGGCTGCGGTTCTTACTACAAAAGCCCAGCAACATGTGCTAATTCCCAGATTTGAGCAAACACAATTACCAGGTATGGTTGGCTCAAAAAAGTCCAAGTCGAGTATGAAAAGAACAGCACGCCTATACAAATGCGAAGTCTATACAAATCTTTCCTGGAAATGGACAGAATTTCAGCCAACTGAAAACCAGGCTGAGCACTTTCAAGACCATGTACATCCTCTCCACAATCACCTTGGTGTATGCTGCATCCATGGAGAAAACAGAAAATTACTATATTTTAATGACTTGGGATCATCACACTTTTTAAAGAAAATACCACTCTTGGATCCTAAAACACGAAGGCCTGCTGTGCCTGTGGTGGGGATGGGATGATTCCCCGGTACACAACAGGCCTGTGAGGGCTGAATTCTCAGGATGTGGAGTGCAGGAAACAGGGGACTTCATGGGGAGCTGCTGGCGACACTCTTTCCTGGGCAGCCCTGAGTTGCCCAGGACACCAGTCTTCTGGGCATTTTCTGCTCCATTTTGATTTAATTTTCTAAAAAGATATGGTCATTTATGAAAAAAGGAGAAACAGCAGGGAAGCTAATGGCTCAGGAATCGGCCCCACCAGCAGCACCGGCACTGGCCAGCCACGAGGCGACCTGTGCTGGACCCTTCCGAGATGTCAGCATCACACCTCCGTGAGCATAGACAGCCGTGTGCACAGGTGGGATGGATGTGTCAACCAACCCCAGGCCTGCCCACCTTGAGCAGCCACAGAGTGCCTGGCAGTGGTGCGCACCGGACTCTGCCCTTGAACAGCTCCGACCTCAGGACGTGGGAACAAGGCTGGTAGAGAGCAGGGATCCGGCCCCATGGTGCCCTCCCTGCCTGGCCAGTTGCTTCCAGAAGCGCGGGTGCACACACACACACACTCACACACAGCACGCACACACACGACCCCGACATGCGCGTGGGGAAGCCTCCCTTCTTGCTTGCTGTACTCTGAGTCCAGGCAGGCGCTGAGGCAAGAGCTCAGAGGAACACGCCCCGCAGCCCGTGAGGAGAGCCAAGTAGGGAGCCCTCATCCCCCTGCCACAGCTCTTGCTCGGGAGAGAGGCCTCTCTGCCAGCTGCAGGTTGCCTGGCCCAAGAACCCGCTCCCCTTCCCCTCTCGTCTAGAGGAGGGGTTACCTCTGCCAGTGCCAGCCTCACTGTATGAGGCCAGCCCTGCAGGAGCCCGTGATCTCTGCCAGGTCTTTGTGAATAATCTCCTTTCTAACACCTTTGTGTTTCCTGCAAGACCCCAGAAGATGCACAGCTCTGCTTGGTGAGCAGGTGACATACACAGCCCTGAATACCCCAACTAAGGTAACAAGCATAATAGAGAAAAAGGAAGCCCAGAAAGGTGGCACACACCTGTAATCCCAGCACTCTGGGAGACTGCTAGTTTGTGCCTAGATGTCCCCAAAGCTTCATGCAGTCATGAGGTTTCTTATGAAAAAAAGGCAGGCTTCTAGAGCTTGTGATTCATCTATGATGCAATGCTAGGATTACGCGTGCGAGTGCTACGCACAGCCTGGGGCGGGTGGCCTGCACACAGCGTAAGGGAGGGAGAGAGGCTTGCTCTTGGCTGCTCCTTCCTTTTATCTTGCTGCTTTTGCTGTTTTCCACCACCATGATCTGCTGCCCTTCGCCAAGTACCACCCTGCCTTGGAGCCAGCTGAGTATGGACTGAAACCTCCACCAACCATGAGCTACATAAATCTTTCCTTCCTTAATTTGGGGTGTCCAGTATTCTGTTTCAGCAACCAGAGAAAAGTAACTGAGGAAGAGGTGGAGGCAGGAGAATCACAAACTTGAGTCCAGCCCCACACAATGTAGCAATTTAGGAAAACTCTGGCTCAAACATACAAGAAAAAATTAACTGAGGGCTAGGATATATCTCAGTGTGAAGGCTCTAAGTTCAATCCCTAGTACCAGAAAATAACAAAAATAAATAAATAAATAAATAAATAAATAAAGAGGGGAAAAGTGATGTCTTACCCGAGGCCCAGGCTTCCCAGGCAGGCCGTCTTCTCCTCTTTCTCCTGGTGCTCCCTGTCAGGGATGTGACACAGTGTTAACATGCAGGAACTCTGCACACTACTACTTAGTTATGGGTGGGTAAGGGAGGCCACCGGCACCTGGCTGGTTTCTGTGTCTAGGCTTTTTTTCTTGTTTGTTTGCAGTCCTGGGGATTAAACCCAGTGCCTCATACTAAATTGAACCCCATCCCTTTTCTAATCGTTATTTTGAGACTGGGTCTCATTAACTTGCTAAGCCGTCCAGTCTGGGTTCAAAATTGTGAACGTCCAGCCTCCGCCTTCCAGGACGCTAAGATCACAGGCACGCACGATCACTCCCTGCTTCGCAGGCGACTTGGAACCATCCCATGTGGCTGCCTAAGCCCGACCATGGGGACCTAACAAATACTGCAATCTCCACCTCCTCTGCTGTTCACACTCGGCGGCTCTGATTGCGATTACAAATACATAATTGAAGAGAAACAGTGCCTTTTCATACTGAGAGTAAGAAAAGTTCTACGTAAGTGTTTTAGAGAATACTACATACTGTGTTTGGTTACCTTTTGAAGGATCAGCAACAAGATGTTGAATGTTTATATAAAATGCCCATTAAACCAAGTTAAAACCGTATTTATTCTGCATTTTGTCATGAACTGGTTAAAGAGTTAACTTTCTAAGTTTATTAGAAAGGTAAAGAATTTTCCCACAGCAATGAAGTCACCTTTAATAGTGGCCTTCAGCATTGTCACATGCCTACTTAAGCCTATTCCTGTTTCCTAGGAAAGAATAAAGTGGTTAAAAATGTTTGCTGCATAGTTGCATGAGTGTTCACTCAAAATACCTAAATATCTATTTTTTCTGTGATTTTATTTCTCCACCTGATGATATTTAACCTCTACTCTTACTATAATAATCCCGCTGTAACAAGCCCCACTGGAATGTTTTGAAAATGCAAGTCTCTAATGTTAGTAAGAGTAGCAGTTTTTCCTCCTTATAAACAAAAATATTTATAACTGATTGATTTTAAAGCCTAAAGTCTCCAAGGCTGCCAACCCCCTCCCAGTTACCTCAGGAATAAAGGGCTCTCCTATATCTGACCCCATAAATCCAAACATTTCAACCCAAGTAAGTCTTGACCTGAGGTACAGGAGATTAACTGACTGTGGAAATGTCTCAACAGTAAAAAATCTCTTTGGCTCTTCCATTTCTGGTTCCCAAACTCATGACATCCAAGAGCACCCACCTTGGCTCCTGGCAGGCCTGGCGGTCCATTCAGCCCTTCCCTTCCAGGTGGTCCCTGGTCCAGGAAAGGAAAGAAATTAAAGTACTACGAAAGGCACACTAGGGAAGCACTGTGTTAAGTAGTTCAAGCCAGGAACTAATGCTGTAGCCAAAGACTACAATGCCCAGGCCCCTCTTCTCCTTATCAGTCAACCTCTCTCCCCAGCGTGGCTGGTCTCTGCCAGGAAGGGTTTCCATATGAGTCCTGGTAGATTAAAATCCACCCACTCTGATCCAGCTCCTAGATCCAGTTCCCTGCATACGCAAGGGAGGTAAGGGGGAAGGAGGGTCTGCCCAAGCTAATGCCCAGGGTTCCTTTCCACTGTCAGCTTCCCGAGGCCCGTGTGGTCTATGTTGTTCCCAATCTTCTCTTCAGAGTCTCTTGGCCACCAGGTTTCTCTCTCCTTTCCCCTCCCAGTCTCCTGGCACGGCTCAGCTTTCCTGCCTGTTAGCTCTGAGGACAATGGAGAGGGGCTCTGGGCTGGATTTGCTAATTCACCCTTGTCATTGCCATGTGACATGACTGGTGTTACTGACCCTGTGTCTCCAGCCCAGGGAGGTGGTGAGTGAAAGGAAGAGCTCTACCTGCACAGAGCAGGGGCCCGAGGTTGAGGCCTCAAGGAGGGGAGGAAGAGGCCTTGCTGGAGGGCTAAGGCCAGCTGGATCCATGGAAGCATGACCTTGACCAAGATCAAAACACCAAAGCCACAGCTGTTTTACACATCGTCGGTGACATTGCAGTTGACTCTGATGTTCTTGGTCGGTGTGCTGGTGACAATGCGGTTCACCTGGGGTGCTTTCTGTGCTTACATCAGTTCCCCTAAGTATATGCCACAACCTCGAGTGTGTGTCCCATGTCCTTTGGGGCAGTGTACTGCAGCTCCACAGAGTTCAGCTGCTAGTGTGGCAGTGACCTCTGGCCCCATCTCCTGGGGGTCTTGATCTATGCCTATTAGCACTCTGTGGCCAGGAAGAAGGAAGAGAGCCGCCATTGTTTGCACCATTGGCTTTGCTCCTCCTCCTCACTCCTCATGGATCTGGGCCTCCTTCAGTGCCCTGAGCTCCCCTCATGTGGCTTCCCTCCAGTAGCTCCAAGGGCAGACCTGTCACTGGGTCTACCCAGCACTTGGCCCATGGTGTCATAATGTTCCCAGGCCCCTCTCTCCATGCACCCTGAAGAGCCACACACTAACAGTCAAGGAAACACGTCCACGTGTAACAGGATGACGTTCACACTCTCTGAGCCCCACCTACAGGAGTCAAGCAACCAGACGCTAGAGGCCCTGTGGTCTTCTCAGTTCGCAGTCAGAAAAACACAATCGGGGTAATTCAGGAATCTCAGAAGAGCTGGCCACACCCTCAACCATGCCCTCTGACATGGTATTTCTCAGTTTCCATGAGCCCAGCATTTCTATTACTCTCTGGGGTTCCCACAAAGACAAATGCTCATACTTCAAAAAACAAGGGGATTTAGGATTTGTCTTTGGGTAAAAAGAATACAGGTGGTAGCCTAGAGAGTGTTGATCCCTATTTGCATCCTGGCCAGTGCATGGCGTGGGGGTAGGGAAGTCCTAAGCAATAGACAAGGGGGAGTGGCCACAGAAGGGACAGCCTGTCAGCACAAGGCTGTAGGAGTCACAGGGCCAAGGAAGGAGGCTGGTCTCAGCCGTGAGGACTGGCCCCTTGCTGATAAGAAGGCATAGGGGAGAGGGAGAGGTGAGCAGAAGATGTCCCAGGATACTCACGGCATGCCCAGGAGACCCAGGTTTGCCCGGGAAGCCAATCTCTCCAGGTAAACCCTGAAAACAGACCACATGGAGGCATTAGTCAGAGTGCACAGAGAGCAGATTGTCCAAGCTTGGTCTTGGTACAGGAGCAGGCCTCTGGTTCAGCTGAGGCACTTTAGCGCTGGCCACTCTGAAACACACAGCTGTCAGCTTTCTAGAGGTGACAAGCAGCTGTTCTGATCTGTAGCTGAGGTCCTCCATCTTCTCCTCTGCTACTTTAGGAGATCAGTGGAACAACCATCCTACTACAGTCAGGTTCAGCGTCCTGGCAGGAGTGCTGGACTCACTTCCCAGATCGAAACCACAAACTACTAAAGTGGCCTGACCTTGCCACCCAGTGAGCTTCCCCCATAGCCTCCCACACCCAGTCTCTGGAAGTCACCAAAGCGTCACATTGATTCATGTGCTATTTGTCATCAAAGGGTTTCAGAGTCATGAGGATCCTAAGACTCTGGGTGTCTCATGAGTGGGCCTCTCCTGCCTATGCTTTTGCACTGGACTTGTAGAGAAACGGCGAGCCTCTGCAGAGGAAAACCACCTTGGCTCCCACCAGCCCAGGGTTCCCATCAAATGCCCTGGTGAAAGAAAATCAAAACCAGGCTTACCGGGGGGCCTCTAGGTCCAGGGGGACCTGGGACACCAGGAGGTCCTGAGGGACCCTAAAAAGAGAGAACAAAGGTAGCTATAAATGTGCACAGAGTAGCTCCTGGGTGACAGCTGTCATTTGAGAAACAAAAATGGGAAAGGGGCACAGAGACACAATGGGGCTAGCCTGACTTCAAATAGGCCTGCTTCAAATAGGAAGGGGCAGAGCAAAAAAGAAAGAAAATCTGAAATCAAATTTGCAAAATTCTAATCAGCGTCACACTAGGGTGTTTGATACTTATCACACTGCCATATCCATTTTGCAATATATTGAACATGTTTGAACACACACGCCTGCACCAGTGGGTAAGCCATGCACAAAGGTCTTCTGTAACATTCCCAAGCATGAGCATGGCCAGAACTGCAGGTCGGGATCGGGACCACCCAGGGGGAACCATTCGCTGCTTCCATAGGTCCCGGGTGGGCTACATACCTCACCTGTGGGACCTCCGCTCACAACCGCATGGGGACCAGGCCCCACAGCCCCTCACCAGGCCTGAACCCACAACCACTGCGGTCACACACTTGCAGAAAAGCAACTCACAATCACGAAGTAATGCCAAAGACCGCTGGGCACCAAGCCACAAGCCAGAGCCTGGTCAGAGCTGCATAGGAACAGAGCCCTCAGAGAGGGTGAACAGCGATGGTGGCCCACCCAGCAACCCCTCCTGGGGAACACTGTTACTCCGAGGACTATTAAGGAACCTTCAGCAGCACCCATTTCCTGATGGTTGTTGCATCATCGTCCTCCGCACCTGACACTGAACGCCCCAGGTCTGTTCACAGCCTCCCTTCCCCTCTCCCCCTCCTCCGCCTACCACCTCAGGCGCTGGGGAGCTCTGTGCATTTCCCTGGATGCTCTCTGGACAAGCCCTCTTGCCTTCCCCTCCAGCCTCCTGGCTCCACCTCTGATGGGCTCCAGTTCCCCAAGTGGAGTCAGTCTCTCCTTACTCAACACTCCAGGCCGGTGTAACTGTTTACTCGGCCCACAGACCTTGCAGCCCAGCCTTTCTTGTACCCTCTGCACCTCCAGGGCTGGACACAGCGCACTGCTCAGGGATTACTACTGCAAGCCACCCTAAAGGAAGAGCTGAGTACAGCTGCATCATCTGCCACCAGAGGGCGATACACTCCAAAGGATGGCAGAGGCCGCGGCAACCCGGAACCTTTCCCTATTTCCACTGGGTGGCACAGGTGGGTCCAAAGCATTTTCTGAACGACTTTTTGGTGGTACCTTCATTTAGCCTTCTCTGTTGCCTTTAGAATAGCATCTGCCCTTTCCAAGATGTGTGCTCCAAGCTGGAGCCCCTGAGCAGCCTCGCAGAGCTGGGCGGTGTCCTGGGCAGAGACCAACCCAGGGACCTCTCGGGGCGATGAAGGCTGGAGAGGAGGTACAGAAGAAGGCCTCGTCCACTCCACCGACTTCAACTCCTTCTGTTCCAACAAAAAGTGGTCCCGGCTAGCAGCAGTAGAGCCCTGCTCCAGCAGGCGTGAGCTCAGAGCGCCCTCCAGCGGCTGAGTCTGCTATCAGATACTTCCTGCATTTCTGGTGCTGGAGCTTCCGGGCTGCTCCTCGGGACTCCCGGGCCACCTCCGTGCCCACCATTTCCTTTTCCTCCCTCCTGACGTTTCTGGTGATGTTGATGGCGCCGGGGAATCTTTGATGCCTTTCAACACGACTATCCCCGAGTCAGGCTCGTGAGTCAGGCTCCTAGTAAGTCCCTTCACGTCCCTCAGCTCTTACAAATGCCCTGGTGCTGTTGCGGTTTGCGAAGCACGGCGGGTCTGTGGATCACCTCATGGCGCTTTAGTGGGCCTCTATGACATGGCAATGACACCTCCTTGTTTGACAACGGGACAAATCCAAGCCCAGGGAGGGCAAGGGCTCCACGAGAAGGCACAGAGCCAAGCTCTCAGAGGGAAGCAGTATGTGGCTCGGGAACAGTCTGGCCTTTGCAGAAGAACCCTAGGGCTCCTGATAAACACCGAGGCACAGGCGCCCCCTGCAGGCTAGCAGCAGCAGCTCTGGGACGCGTGGCAGAGCTCAGAGACCTCTGAAACGCCTGGCCATGCCAAAGAGCCTTTGAGTTTGGGAATTACTCAACCTAGGCCATCACCACCTTGTGGGAATACCAAGAAGGAGCAAGACCTGGGAAGAAAAGGAGAAATGCAAGAGGACAGGACGGGGCAGCCGCTCCCCTGCTGGTGCTGACTCGGGCCTTCCCCGCCTGCCCTGATCGTGTGAGCCAGCTCCTTTGGGCCCATGCATGGGCGTGGGCACCTAGACAGCGGTTAACTGACAGTCCACAGGGCTGTCACGGGAATGCAGCACCCAGATCCCATCAGTGCTCCCAAGCTCCACAGCCCAGCCGTGGGAGGCCCTCAGGTTGTAGGTCTCCTGGCCCCACCACCACAGCCTCCTTCTGTTCAAAACAAGAGCAATGTGACAGTTAAAAAAAAAATCTGCATATTAAGCAGGCTGAGAATTTAGAGCCTTGCATACAGGTTGGGAGATCTCTGACCCCCACACCCGGGCAGCACAGACACTGCGGGTTTAAGCAGGGTTTGGAGGACCTGCTGCTAGGTGCAGCAAGCCCAGGAACACTCATTAAACCTACAAGTGGTGGGTGGGGGAGGGGAGAAGTAGAGGTTGATACTTGCAACTGGCTTCCCCCACCACCTTTCCAATTTACAAAGGGCATCTTATAAGTCCAGGTGGGAAGTGTTGGGGACAAGAGGACAGAACCATCCGGGTATAGACTCAGGCAGCCATGCTGCCCTGGGACCTGTTCTGCTGGACACATGCTGCCTGCAGACACCACAGCAAGGCGCAGGGGCACAGAAGCTGTGTACAGAGAACCCTCTTCCCTTTGGAGGCTCCAGCCTTGTCCGGTGACCCACTGCCTTTTGCAGCTGGGGCCTCGGCTCTAGGAGAAACTAGGTTTATTTCTGAGTCAGCCTCCAGAGAGTGGCAGAGGGCCAACAGGGCAGGAGCAGGTTTCTGCAGGGATCCTCAAACTGCTCGTGACTTTTGCCACCACCTCATCCAAGAGTAACCTGAACTTCCTAAAGCTCCTCCTACATGCCTGGCATTCTACCAGGTCTTCAGGCAGAATCTTCCAGGGTCTATCCTCCTGACAGCACCGGACTCCCTGTCCTTCTGTGAGCTTGTGAGCTGGGTGTCTAGATCCTGTGTGGACAATATAAGTGCCAGGGACCATGAAGGACAAGGGCAGGGGGGAGCATGGACATGAGAGGTCAGCAACCTGACATCTCAGATCCAGCCTGAGTGAGGAACAGGGGTGGGCAGGTCCAAAGCAACCACTGGGCAGCACAGCCTTGCCTCAGCCAGGCCCCTGACTGTCTCTATCACAGATCCAGGACACAGACTGCTGGCCACAGGAGCTAGATGCAGCTAGGGACAGCAGGTAGAAGGAACTTGAGCCAGTTCCTTGGACAACTCAAGTGATCTCATTTCAGCTAAGGTCTTCCACAGGGCCATGGGACCTTCGTGGTTCCCTCTCCTGCAGCCTGGCATATCACACTGATCACTCACACCCATCGCAGGTCACCAGGTGACAGATAACCCAAGAGAGATCTGCAGCATTCCTACAGACAATGGAGAGAGGCGATGGGAGGGCACTGCAGCCTGGAGGACAGGGCCTGTGTGCAGGAGCAGGACAAGGGGCACAGACCTCCACTGAGCTAGTCTCTCCCCTGCACTCAAGCAAGCCTGCAGGATGGTCTGGAAATAATAGCTTTTCAATGTGTTTTAAAGAATCTTGGCAATTATTTTGAAAACTTAAAGTAAGATGGCTGTATAAACCAAATGAAGTACATCTGTGGGCCAAAGTGTTCGGGTTTGTAATCTACAGACTCCAGCTTCTCCCGCCCTCAAATGGACAACACTGTGGGGGGCTGGAGACAGACGTCCACTGGGAATGAGACAGGGGAGGTGCAAGATGCTGGTACCTGAGGGGCAGTGTGGGAGGACTCCAGGCTGCTTTCCCCCAACTTGGGTGGGAAAGCAAAGAAGCTGGAGGGACTGCGATGGGAACAGGAGATTCTCCAGGGGGGGAAGGGACAGGCTTGAGTTGGGGGGTGGTGAATGGTGGGCTCTGTTTTGATGGGTTGAGTTAAAAAGTTTTCAGAACCTGAGGAGATGGGAGAGAGGAAGAGAGTCAGAGCTAGGGAAAGACAAAGGTGGGCCCAGAGGGGAAGAGAAGGAGGGAAAAGGGAGGAAGGGAGGGAGGGAGGGAGACAGGCAAGCAGGAGGGAGGGAGGCAGGCAGTGGGAATGTGATTGCAAGGAGTGCTGGTATACCCGGTACCTTGGCTGAGTACTCCAGGCAAGACTTTAGCATTTTCTAGGTTAAGACAACAGTCCATCACAGAAGGCAAACATGTTCTCACTTTTTTGTGGATAATGGATGGGGCACATGGTCATCTTCTCTGGCCTTTCAGAAAAATTATAGGGAGGCTCAATAACTGTGGTTGGAATTGGACCAACTTTTGCTGGCCTTCTGGTCAGTGGTTGCCCTCATGCTATACAATTCTTCCCTCAAAAATCAAGTTGAAAAGTACTCATACAGAACAGGATCTTAGTTACCTTGCCAGTACATTTCCAAACCTAACTGGAAGATGGGTTGTAAAGTCACGAGAAAACCACGTTGAGCATGTTTCCTATTCTTTTCCTGCAAATATCTGATTAGCAGTTGGGCTTCCTAAGAAGGAGAAAACCCCCCTTCTCCTCCTACTTTACCTACCACAAAAAGTTCTAAAAATCCAGGGATCTACTGCATCATTTTCTCTCCTGTACAGCTAAGGATATGAGGGCGCAGTGGTTGACACACTGTATCAACTTGAGATGTCTGAAGCTTGGCTGGATCCAGAAGCTTGGCTGGATCTGCTTGTCCCATTCCCTGCCCTGGGACATGGGGGGCTCCCCCTAGGGTGAGGAGGGCCCGCCCCAGAGTGGCTCAGCACAAAGGAGCTGAGGAAGACTTCTGCAGCCCACTTCCTGGGAGGAGTTCTGACCTTTACCATGCCACAGAGTAGAAGGAAGAGAGAGAGTCTTGACGGACACCACAGATGCTGCTCCTCCTCTGCTCTTCATTGTCTTCTGCTACCGTGAACTGCTGCCATTTGCCTTGAAGCCAGCAGAGTATGGACTGAAACCTCCACTAACTGTGAGCTAAATAAACCTTTCCTTCCTTCATTTTGGGTGTTGGTATTTTGTCCCAGCAATGAGTGTAAAGTAACCAAGACAAAGGGTTTCAAGAAAAGATAGAGCCAAGACTGGGCATGGTGGTGCCCACCTGTAACTCCAGCACTTGGGAGGCTACAAACAGGAGGATCACTGTGAGTCTGTTTTGTGTAGTGAGACCCTGTAAACTCTGTACTAAATACATTAAACAAAAAAGAAAGAAAGAAAGAAAGAAAGAAAGAAAGAAAGAAAGAAAGAAAAGAAAAGAAAAGAAAAGAAAAGAAAAGAAAAGAAAAGAAAAGATAGAGCCAAAGAAAGGGACGTGCTGAAATCCAAGTCCCAATGGCAGAGGCAGGGTTTCTCCAGGACAATGCAGGCAAGACATGGACAGGAAGGCGTTTTCCAGGATAAAGGGTGCTTTTGGTTTAGGATGCCCAGTGTCAGATCCCAAGAGGCCTCGGGCTGCTACAATGGGCAGAGGGCTTCACTTCTCAGATCCTCAGGAATCATCTTAGTTTGATTTGAGAAAGTTCATGAACCAGCACAGAACATGGGAGGACTTCCCAAATATTACCTCTGTTTCTTCTTTTTTAAAATTAACAACAATACCTAAGTAGCCAATTAATTACAATGATTGAGTGACAAATTAGCCAACAGATACAAATATTTACAAAAATACATGAGTGTTTTCATTATTACTGATAAAAAACTAATGATTCTAATATTAATTAATTTACAGTATAATTACCATTAACGAAACATCTGATCCTTCTAACACTACAGTGACAAAGTAGCTATCTAATGTAATTAGCAGTTATAGCGATAATGCATAAATAACCAATTAACTTTATTATGCTTAATAAAGAAAGAGCAAATAATTACTCCCATTACACCTACTTCCACTTGGAGTACGTTTATGAAGTTGGATGAACCTTGAAGATGCATGAAAATTGCTTGCATAAATTACCACAGCACTCAACTTCTGGTGCAGTTTGGCTACATTCCCGATTTGGAATTGTGTTCCTAGGTTGCTTCCTCCCCTCAAGATGTGAATCCTGGAGGCAGGAGTGTAATCAGTGCCATCTTAGGGGGCCACCAAGCTCCTGGGAGGTCCCACCAAGCCTGGGGTCTTCACGCTGCACGTGACACCCAGTAGCACCACCCTTGAATAACACCTGGCCAGAACACACACACACTTCTCCATTCTCCCTAGGAGACAAGCGTCCCTGCATAAAAGAACAAAGACGGATACTTTTACTACAAAAATTTCCTGCAGGTGAGAGTTGCCTTTTCAAGCAGAAGTACTCGAAGCTCTGTCCAGGGTGCCAGCCGCCTGGGGAACTGCAGGGGCTCTGAGATGACAGCAGAGGCCCTCACGCCATCCCAGGCAGTGCTAAGCCACCTCTCTGAGCTGAGTTTCTTTGTATCTTAGTTTGGGGAAAATACAATTTCCTCGCAGGCAGCTATTAAAAAACAGATGTAGTTACAGAGAGATGGTACAATGATATTTTCCAGGGTAGCAAACAGAATGGTAGAAAAACAATTCCACAGCTTTAAATATTTGGTATAGCTGCATGGTGAATTTTATTTTGCTGTTATTTATTTGTTTTTATTTGACATGGCATCTCATTATATTGCCCAAGCTAGCCTTGAACTCCTGGGTTCAAGCAATCTTCCTGCCTCAGTCTCCTGAGTAACCAAGAAGTCAGGCTCACCACTGAATTTCAAAACACGTATGCTTTCTCATGATAAAGCAAAATCATAAGGCACGTGAATCCCACTCTGTTTTTCACTTTCCATAGCAAAATGCCAACACAAGTGTGGAGTCTTTAGAAAACTGCACTGTGGTGGAAGATGCACTTCCTGGTATATCCTCACCCAAGTGAGCAGTGCTGGTGTGGAGTCTGAGACTGAGACCAAAGTGCCCGACACTCACCAGGACACTATACAGCCAGCTCAGCGGGCAGCAGTGGCAGGTTTCTGGGTGCACTTGGCAGTGCCTTCTGCATGGGGTCTCCCTGCTAATAGAGGTGTCTGGAGTGGGCAGGGCCTAGCTGCTCTGCCACAGCTCTGCAGAGAGCCAGCAACCATGGTGCCAACAGGCTCATAATCAGGGCAGCCAGGACATAGAGAGCCACCAGTTACCAGGTGCCGGCTGTGCCTAGGGACCCTGTCACCTTCAACAGAGCCTGTTCTGCTCTTCATTCCACGGTGTCACCTCCTTTTAATTTTTACTACTTTTGTTTTTAAATTTTATGTATTTGGCATAGGGTCTCACTATTTAGCTGGGACTCGTAATGATCCTCCTGTCCTCAGTACTGGGATTACAGGAGTGCACCACCACACCCAACTGTATGACAGCAGGGAGCCGGGCCAATGTGGGAACAGACAGGAGCTGTAAAGTACACACAGGGCTGGGATGGAAAGAGGTGGAAAAGGAAGAGAAGAAGGAATGGAGGAAGAAGGGAAGGATGGGGAGGGGAAGGGAGAAGAAGAAGACAAAGAAGACGAAGACAAAGAAGAGAAGGAGGAGGAGGAGGAGG